GGACACTTCCTCTGTTCCTCCATAGTTGGTGAGAAAGAGATGTGGGCCTGAAAATGGGAAAAAATACAACCAATTTAGCTTATCCCTAAATCTTTGGAAGAAGTTTGAGTAGCATCATCAGAGACAACTTCTTTCAAGGTCTGTGGTCGTACCTTATTGTCTGTGACGCATTTATCCACCAGGGGGAGCAGCTCATTGGAGAGGAAGGTTGCATGGGCATCCACATAAGAAATACCCTTAGGCTCATAGATGTTGGTGACAATCTGTCTCCACACAGGCAAACACAGAAACAGAGATAGTTTGTAAGGTAAACCACTCATTTCCTATATTTGAAATCTTAAAGAGACAGTGAAGTGAACATGAACATGGATTCACCTGAAACTCCTGGACCCGTTGTTTGGGTTTAACTCGGGTCAGAATCTCATACCGGCCCAGTTTCCTCTGAAGGAGCTCCTCGTAGGTCAGAATGAACGTCACGTTACTTTCAGCTGCGATGTTGACAGACACTGAAAACTTCTCCATCTTTCTTCCAGAAGCCCTGTAATGACCCAGACATCATAAACAGCCTATAATGTTAACCCATGTAGGATCTTCACAACAGAAATACAGTATGATCATTTGGAAATGTAATTCATACTGGGTTTGTGCAGAAGTGGACAGTACGTAAGTAGATTTATTTAAGTACTTCACTTAGGGACAGATATGAGGTACCCTGTTCATTTCCTTTTCCTGCTAGTTATACATCTAATCCACAAAACAGAGGTAAATTGTACTTTTTACTCCACTTCATTATGATATATGATAACCACATTTAGTTAAAACTTAAATTAAAACAAGCAACCAAACAGTCTATACAGTTATTAAATATGCTCCATGTATACCTGCTACAACAAACAAAAGAATGCAGCTATAATTATAATACAAATATATAATATTAATTAATCTGAAATTGGCCATTCTGCATATTGAGTACTTTTTGTCCTTAAAGTATGTTTTGATGCTAATACTTCTGTTATTACCTGAGTAACCTTTTGAATGTGGGACTATTTGTATTTTTACTTTCAGAAGAAGATCTAAGTACTTCTTCCAATGTCTGGGTTTGTTTGTATTTTTCATCTTAATTGACTCACTTCACCAGTCCAGCAGTCTGTCCAGAGGAAACAGCCGTCTCATATTGTTTCTTAGCTTTCTCTTTCTCCTTTATATCGCCAACGTACACCTGACCATCAATTTCCCTGTGAGGAAGAAAGATGGATAACAAAGTCAACTAACTGTATCATTAAGATTATCTTAAAGAGGCCCTATTATGCCATTGGTGCATGTAAATAGCCTGCAAAGACTCTCCCTCCAGAGGGAGTTTCTCTCCCACACACTCCCCCCCGGCCTGAAAGGCCTCCATTGGAGTCCTTTGTTTAATTCCATCACTATGTACCACTTGCACTTCTATTGGATGTACAACACATTGTACATGATAGGCTAAGTGGCGGGACATCTCTAAATGTCTGACCAATCACAACAGAGCTGGCCAGCAGACAAAGGGTGAAAAGAGGCGCTGCAGCACAGGCAGTATGAAACAAATAAATACTTTTTTGAACATTAAAGCACAAAATACAATTATGAAACCTGAAAATGAGCATAATAGGGTCACTTTAAGAGGGAGCGTAAGCAGGAATAAATACTGCCACAGAAATGGTCATAATGCAAGTATGAGTGGAGACAGACTGACATGCTGAAGTTGGCGATGAAGGCGGTTTTGGGCAGGTCCACCTCGAAGAAGATTTCCTGGGAGGAGTTAGCTCTGTTCAGAGCCTTGGAGGTCATGACAGTGTGGGCGAAACGAGACATCACGGTGCAGTCCAGCCTCACACTGTACACCTCCACCTGAGACAGACAGAGAGGGAGGGAGTTTAAAGTGAAGTTGAAACGCCAGTGAATAAGGAGAGCACTTCACACATAGCATTTTTTATACAGTCAATTACTCCAATACTGTTTTTTTCAGCTATGGGTCCAGACCACAGCATGACACCCTGATTGGTGCCAAAGAAAATGTTTGGAGAACATTATGTCACTGATTCCACTTTGGGAGTGTGTGTGAGTCAACCTGGGTGCTGCATGCTCTACAGGGATAGTGTTGATATTTGAAAACTAAACTCCTTTTCAGTGAGTTTAGTTTTTTATAATCATTTTTGGTTGATTGTAAGGAACATATTGAACCTATATGAGCACATTTATTGTTAATTGCCAATGCTTCCTTCAAGCTGTCGCTATGTGTAACCTGCTTGTATATTTATTTTCTAAACTCAAGTATTTCCTCTGCTTTTGATTTTGTACAGCGTCATACATTTTTTTCTTCGAGATTGTCTTCTTACATATTTGCATGCATTCATTTATAGGATAAGATAAGATAGGATAAAAGATTTACTTAATTCATCCCAAATTGGATTTTCTTTTAGGTGTTACACATGCATTAAAAATATAATAAAATATAATAATAAACACATAGAAGAAAAAAAGAATAAGAAACAATAAATATATAAATATCAGCAGTGGAAATTATATATGTCAATATAAAAAATGTAACCAGCGAGGTAGTGTGGGTGCGGTATAGTATCATTTGTAGTGGTTAGTTTGGTTATTAATAGTTTTCTTTTTTGATGTGGACATTGTGTATGTGCATGTGTTAATAAGGTTGCTAAGCCGTTGTATACCGTCTTTACAGCAGTACATGAAGTTATATTGAACTGAATATGTATCTTTATAAGTATTAGTATTAACAGAGAATCAAACATTTTCTTACCATGTCCTCATTTGTACTTCTTTTCTGGAACAAAAAAACAAACAGAGAAAAAATGTGATTATTTGGGGATTTTAGAAAATGTAAGAATGATTAATGTTAATTAAGAAAGATCCAACTTTTGCACAATGTTTTCACCATATTATGAAAGGGCTTTCTGTAAACAGTTCCTGAAAAGTACCTGCAGTGATTTGGCAGCGCCTCTTGGCTCCTGAAATACAAATATGCCAGGGTGAACCAACGTGGTGCCAGAATATAAGGACCAGTTCATCAGACATACATTATACTCATTGTCATACTTACAAATACAAAAAGAAATGAGAATGTTAGTAAAACCAAGGATTTCCAAAGTAGTAGTGTTGGTGATAAAGAGATTATTCATAAGAAAACCGATTAGTTGCAAAATGATGAACCAGCTGATAAACAATGTAATTTAAGATAAATTCAGAGTACAAAAAAGTTACTAAAAGTTACCTGCAGAGCTTCTTGGTCTCCAGAAATGACCAGAGCCCCCCGGACCAGGCCGGGCGGCCCCAGGCAGGCGCTGCCCCACAGCAGCAGCAGTCCAACACCCTGCAGTCCAGACATGACCAAACGTCCACTGAACAGCAGCTTGGCACTGCTGAGAATAAAGCTCTCTGTCCAGGGAGGGACCGTGTGTGTGTGTGTGTGTGTGTGTGTGTGTGTGTGTGTGTGTGTGTGTGTGTGTGTGTGCGTGCGTGCGTGCGTGCGTGCGTGTGCGTGTGTGTGCGTGTTGTCGGGAGTACCAACAGACCTGGGCTCAATATGCAGGAGGTTTGTCTGACACCAAACTTAAAGAGGACATCTTATGCTACTTATAACACAATAAGGTGTCGGCGTTATGGCGATTTACTCGGAAGCCAGTCCCCAACTCCGGGGACTTCCGGCCGGGGACTTCGGGTGGCAGTATACGCCGTGAAGTGGTTTGCGGCCTGCCAGTAAACCCAAAGCAGAAGAAGAAGAAGTGACGTCAGCGGCTTCATTTGCGTAATCCTCCATCAGGGAACTTATTCCGTTGTGAACGCGATCTGTACTTAGTTCCATGGGGGTACTAAGTGCTGGCACTAAGTGCTGGCACTAAGTACGGCAAAGTACTTGGTGTGAAAGCGGCTATTGACATGCACAAAAACATAACATACTACAGGAAAGGGAAAACCAAAGCATTAAAATAACTATTGTTTATTAGTGATACCAAGATAGTGTCTGCTTTACTTCCTAATACATACAAGGTACATTATGTCCAGGGGTGCACACAACTTTCTCAGTGAGGTACTCAGATGAGTACCTGGAGTCAGTGTTTGGTACTCCAACTTCTGGGCGATTGTCAACGGGGAGGGGGGGGGGGTGGTAGTGGAGTACAGAGCTTCGGAGCTACAGAGTGTGCACGTTGTGATCAGCTGTTTTAGCGCAGGGCTGCTGTACAGACCGACGTTAACAGCAGCCCTGTCTGTGCACACGGAGACCGACTCTGTCGTCCGGGGCTCTAACCGCCTTCTGGAAAAGCTTCACATGTACGTCGGTACGCAAATGCGCTTTGTGACACATGTGACGGTACGCATTTCAGATTGTTGCCGCGCATGCGTACCTGCGTACCAGTTATGTGCACCCCTGATATGTCTACTATAGTTACTATAGCAGCTAGATATCTGTGATGCTCCCTGTTATTTGTAGTAAAATAAATACATTTACTAAAATGCTGTCTAGTTTGCTTCATTCAGCCCTCACTTTTCTCCTCTTTTGCCAGTCTCTTTCCCTCAACCACTTGTTTCACTTACTGTAAGTGTGTGTTTGTGTCCTTTCACATTTACCAGCAAGCAAACAGTAGAATAGTGTAGAAAATCAGGCAAACTCTAGTATGTTTTTTTTCGAAGTTAAATCATCCACCCAAAGATTTGCCAAGGATAACGGTACAAAATGACTCAGAGCACCTTTGAGTGTCAGTAACAGATTGATTCGATTTTTTCTTTGGTCAGCATATTTATCTCGTGTAAACATATAAAAAACTATATTATTTTTACACTAAAGGCAGCTATGTGCTCTCACTGATGACGCTATATGTATTTAGCCTTATTATGCTTGCAAACATAATCTAGCACTTTATGTTGGCAAATTAAATTGGGCTGTTTTTTCGTAGAAATTAACCTCTTTTTATAATTTATTACCAAATAAAATGTAATACAGGGGATACAGGGGGAAATTATTTATTTAGGAAAAATGTTCAGTTTAAAAAAAGAAGAAATCAAATGTTTCAACATACATAAATACATTTCACAACTCCTTCAGAGCATCAGCCACATTAATCCAAGCCAAGTCTGATGCACTACACAAATAACAAAGTACAAAAACTGTTAACATAGCAGTAAAGTCAACACACCTGGCATAAAGTGAAATCATTTACCTCTCAAATCCTTCTTTATTATATTAGAAAAGCAGCATCACCATAAGAACATACAGTGTGTTTTCTTCAGTGCTCTTGTCTACTTGCTGAACACACTGGCTCCAGGAGCTTTGGCAGCAGCAGGCTTCCCCAGGGCTGTCTCCGTCCCCGTCCTCACTCCACTGAACACCGACGGAGCCGTTTTGCCCATACGCTCTGAACACAGACACACAGATATGTAAGGTCAGAAAAACAGATGTTTAAACCAGGTGACTGCAAATCAAAAAGAAAAAAATTCCACTTGGGATATCTTAAAATGAAGTATGTGAGAGGTCGAATGTCTGCAACGATCGTTTCTGTTTCAGCACTATAACATACTCTTGTCTGAATTATGATTGTTATGTCCCTACAGTAATCCCTGCCTCTTATGTCCAGGTCACATAACCTCTTTTAATAATTTCACTGAGAAATATTGTCACATTTCGTGAATGATGTCTGATTTTGGACAATGTAGCCTATACACGTTATTCTGTGACACTTTACTACCTACCAAGCAAGATTCAGAAAGCACTTTCAACTCATTGACCTGTAATGAAAGTTGGTTGTTTGTTTGGATTCTAACCAAACTCACAAATAAGATCAGTGAGACAATATTTTAGGATGAAAGGGCATTAAAGCAAACCTACAGTGGGTGGGGGTTGTGCAAGAGTAGCAAGGGTGTGTGTTGGGTGTGGATGGTGTTATCTTCTATAAGCAAGAGCTCATGTATGTGTTTGTGTGGAGTCCTAACCAGGGGTTAAATTAAGATTTGATATGTGGGGGGACTCTGTTTGAAGGTGCACGGAGGAGCCGCGGAGGAAGAGAGTGAGACACACGTTCACTAAACCGAAAAAACTATATCCGGTCACAGAGATCTGCTATTTTAAAGTGAAGTCAACACATAACCTATCGCCCTTAAATATAGTCTATATTAAGAACAGTTTTAACATATATATCGTTTTTTGTAAACATGACAAATGTGCGAGGGTGATGACGTCAGAGCATCGTCCCATGTGCCGGGGTTAGCCCATGGATGTATAATAAGAAGGGTTAGCCCCGGACAGCCCCGGCCCAATTTAACCCCGGGTCCTAACCATAGACTGTATATATAATAAAGGTCCTAATACATAATAGTTAGCACATCAGTCTTTTTACCATACTGATCCTTATTCTGACCGAGTTCTGACTGGGTTTTGAGTTTTAGATTATAGAGTAAAGAGTGGTGGTATATGCACTTTACGTACAATATGTAGCCTTTATGCAATGTCACAGTGTAGAAATATCCTTACAGTCATAGCCTACCTTCAAAACATATAGCAACAATTATAGTTTCACTAGTGGTCTATAAGGCCTAACTTACAAGGAAATTCGCCTGGTATCAACTGGTATCTTTGCAGCTAAATGTTATAGAAAACGCGTCCTTCCTACTAGATTTTAAGTTTTCGCTAATGTTCAGATTGTAAAAAAAGTAAAAAATCAATACGTCCATAAGTTAACGCATCCTTCCCTGGTGGTCTAGTGGTTAGGATTCGGCGCTCTCACCGCCGCGGCCCGGGTTCGATTCCCGGTCAGGGAACTACTGTTTTATGCCTTCTCATTTATCGACACAGGAAAGTGACAATGCTACCTTATCAGTAGTAGTAGTAGTACACAAGTTTTCAATACATACATACATTTCGAAAAATATAAATAAAGCTATAATGCAGTTATCTTGTTACAAAAGGAAATATATAAATAAATGTTGACATAATGAATAAAGGCTTTACTTAATACACAATTACATGAATAAATACGTTTTAATTTCTTCATTTCTATAACATTTGTATTCTTTTCTTCATTTCACATTTTTATTATGCATTATAATGTATAAATGTAATCATTTCAGCTTTGATTTATTTAGCATTTGATTTATTCAAATGTGTTAAATATAAAATATTTAGATTTCTGTGTTTATTTCACCGTTAATATATTTATTGATTTATTGATTACTAAATATGTTCTCTATGGAACATCTAAAAACAGAGACTCATCCACCATATCAAATGAATCAATGTTAGATAAAGTCTCTTCAGTTGTTTATAAGACAGTCAAGTTATATAATTAAACTGTCAAGAAACATATTATGTTAAGTCTACAGACCAAGCATGAATAAATAAAAGAAATGTAACTGCTGTAAAGAAAGCGCTGCAAAATATCTTTACATAAGAGAGCTTAACATCTTAACAAGGAGTTACATAATTTGTCTTGTTTTTCAGAAGAATGACAAAAGGCTTTACTCACCACACTCCGCCATGACCTCATAGGTCTTACTCTTGACCTCGCCCTTCAGTCCCAGTTTACTGCGAGCTCCTTTCAGGTCCTCCTCCTTCATCGGGGGACGCTTCTTCCTCTTCACCTCATCTGGCTGGAGTGAATTGAACAAAGGTGGTATGTTAGGAGTGAAAAGCAGGAGAGCTAAGAGTGTAAACAACCTGTCATCACACATAATGCACTGTAAATAACCAAAACACCATTATCAGACCAAACGTACCTGTGACATCTTGATTAAAGCTGGTTAAATGAATGCACAGAAGCCTCTTCAGTGTGATAGATTCGATGTTAGTTTTCTAGTGTGTGTGTGTCTACCAGCAAGCCAGACAGTATATATAGTCCTGGTCAGACCCCTACCCTCTGTCCCACTCTGTCTGTTGTCAGTGTTTATTATTAGGTGTGACGTGAAGGATCCTACAGTTGGAACGGGTCTCCCATTTTTTTACGATAAGCTTACAGGTCAACAGCTGATAATGCAGGACACAAGTGGCTGTCTGCCCCCTCCTCTCCTGGCAGAGATACCCCATCTTTTAAATGTTGTTGTGTGACTAAAAAGGGATCGCCATCTCCTCCCTGTAGCTCCTGGGACTCCGCCTGTCTATTGCTGCAACTTTATTCAAGCCTGAGGACATTGTGGATCTTGATAAAAGCATTTTCAGACAGTCAACACATGACCCAACATATTTAGGGCTTAACCAAAAAGACAGCTAAGAAAACTTTCCCACCACCTTGTTTGAGTCACACAGTAAGGCCATTAGAGCTTTTTTATTGTGAGTAATAGGCAACATATGTACAACACTTTTAGCCTAGGCAGGTCTATATTCAGATGGAATAGTTTTTGTATATTTGGTGTTAAACTTCAGTCATGAAAATGTCTTATTATGTTTCAGGGAATACTTGAATCTCCCTGTTAAGGTGAAAGCAAAACCTCACAATATTAAATAAATCAAGAAGGGAAGTTATATGTAAAAGGATATTCTGATCATGCTCTAAATATTAAACTAAATTTGAAATGTGAACATGTTTACAATTGATGAGTGTTTCCTTTTTAATCTTTTTCATGTCAAGGCCCCATGGGATACGCAATTGAAACGATTTTTCTACAGGGATCTCCATCTGAAAATATTTAGTTTGTAAGATGGTATACGTCTAGTTCAGAAATCTACACTTGTAATTTAGAAGGTTACGATAGAGGAAGTGAAAACCCTCACATTGGGCCCACATATATAGGCAATTAAATAGTTAAAATAAACCATGAATACAATTAAAAAATAATAATTTGACAGACAACAAACACATTTGCTCGTGTCTATGTGACTTGTTTCACTCATTGGGTTCCTGTTAGCTGTTTGCTTACTGATGTCATCTTAGAATATATATTTGAGATGACATCAGTAAGCAAACAGTTAAGTCAATAGGCCTATTTAGCAGTCAGAAAACTCGGCATCACTTTCTGAAACTGAGGTGTGAACTGTGGGAAACTGACTCACTATATTAAAACTACAAACTGAGCAACACAGAGAATCTGAAAGGCTGCAAACTCATTTAGGCAGCATCACAGTTGGAAGATAGTCAATTAAAGTTTATGGCTGTCCAATCCTTAACATGGGAGAGTACAGAACCTGTCCTGACATAAAGATTTACACATTATAAAAAAAACAGAATCTACCTCCTAATGTGTGCGATTATTCCCACTGAATTTGGTAGAAAATGCTAAACTAGCTATTTGTTTGTCTTACAAGATAACACACATTTATGCAGGCGCTAATTATAAAAATGCAAGGCTTAAGGTAATTGCACATGCGTCCCCTAACCTCCTTTATAAGCTGTACTTATGTATGGAAGAAAAACAACCAACACAACAAATGATATGCTTGTTCTCGACATGGGCTGAAATCACGTCCTACACAGTCATAAGTACTTTATGGAAAATTGGCGTATATGTTATCTGGAGCTGATGAGCAGGATGTCAAGTATTTTTCAAGAGCTCCTGAAGGATGACCATGAAGCCTGATGCTAAGTGGGTGTCTTCCCTTAGGTATTTGTAAGAAGCTATAAGTACCATCTGGATCTATTTTTGGATATACAATCAGGACTGAAGGATGGGCGTCTCTAGTGCCGACTGCGCCTCTCCTGTCAGTCTGCGGTGTGAATCTGCCTGGTGGTAAAGAACAAGCAATGCACACACGTTTATTTACACAAACCTTTTTACAAATGATGATTTAATTAGTTGGTATTAGTTGCAGCTGGCTTGTTCTCCATGTTAACCTATACCGCACCCTGGTGGTCAAGTTGTTACTATTCAGCAACTTCACGCCCTCTCACAAGTAAGGGCAGAAAACCATGTGACTGCAGCCAGTTCACAAAGAAATTAAACTAGAGCTATGAAGAAAAAAATCTTAATTTGCTGCAACCCATCTGTATGAAAAAACAAGTCATTTTGTTTTTAAAGGCTTTAGGGTGCTGCCTATAACAGGCACTTGAGCTCCAATACAAGAACATGCTATAAACTGCCCCTCTGCTGACCTGCATGCAGTGTGGGGATCATCCGCCCTGAAGGTGTACCACAGAGAGATGGATCACGTTGCACTCTCTTCTCCCTCCAGCTTGACGGTGTAGCCCTGCGGAGGAAGACTCTCTGAAGCCCCTTTATCCTGAAGAATCAGAGGTGAAGACATCAAACTCACACATATAAGTTCAAAACACGCCTTTTCTGGAATCCCATATCACAAAACTGAAACCGTGAAATAAACTGAAGTAGTCCGTTATCAAGGTAGTGTATCACATCCTTTATTGGAAAAGCATTTAGAATGATAATTTACCTCCATCACTTTTCTTTGTTCTCATCTATAGCAGTGGTTTTCAAAGTGTGGGACAGTAGGCCTCCCTTCAGAAAACAAAAGAAAGTACCCCCTCTGCCCCCCCCCCCTTATTTTAGTTCCTTACTTTAGCTCAATGGCTGGATGCCTATGGTCTCATGAATATATTATTTGATAACATAGTCAGTCATCAATTGAGTCAAGATAGCCTCGTACTACAAATACGTAAAAAGGGTATATCCTAGGAATTGAGTAGTTCCGACAGTGGAAACATTTTTAAAATGTCCCCAAATACTGCAGAATATCTGAACCATTTCCAATCAGATCACACACATTTAGGGTGTGTGATCTTCCTTTCATTCAGCCTCTTTAAAGACTGTTGGGAGCTCTTCCTGGAGCCCACACGGTCACTTTGAAAACCTCTGATCTAGTAGTTTCACTTTGAAAAATCCTAAAAGCCCTCTTTGTCCCGATTGAGTTCCCAAAGCTGCTGCATAATTCTGTATTACCCTCCTTTAAAATGCGCAGTCATATGTTCCTCGCCAACATGCCAAAAACATCATAATGAAATCATCACCATCACCATCACCATCACAGTATATGTCACTCTCCATTTACTTTAAAGAGGACCAGCAGCCACACCCACTATACACACACTCATACAGCCCACGCCAGTACATGCAGTTATACTTTATATATACACTGGCACACACACACACACACGCACGCACACACACGCCCTTTCTCTGTCTGGTCTGCAGTAACTTAACAGTTTAGAGGTCTATGCATGTCACATTCTTAACATCAGAGCCTGCTGAATGCTGCTTCATGCCTGAACATCTGGAGCTCTGGATAAAAACAGTCCAAAAACTAACCAACAAAAAGACAACAAACACCTGCTGGTAATTTCACTCAGGCACATTTTTGTAACATAAAAAAGTAACAACTATCACACAAAAAGGAAAGGTGAAAGCTGGGAAATTGTGCAAGAAATGGTTCCCATATCTGCTCTCCCTGTTGGAGTTAAGGAACAAAGAACACTTTTGGAACAAGCATAGTCACCTTTTTGGCCCGAAAATAACACAGAATTCTATACAAAAAAGATCCCAAAAACCTAAGACGAGACAAAAGACATTCAATGACAAAAATACACCGGTAAAACGATCACAAACAAGAAGACACATGCCGAGCTGATATTCGAGGGATGCTGCAGTCCTACAGGTCTAACAGTGGAAAGTACTCGGTCAATAGATACAGATGGAAGGCTGCTGCAAGCATTAATGACACGAGTAACATTACAAACGAGATATGCAGTAGTTTAGTGAGTTACTGTGCTGGAAGAGTTGCATAAGTACAGTGATTCAAACACTGACAAAATGCGTAAAGGTTTGTCCAACTGTACACACACACACACACACACACATACATACATACATACATACATACATACGGCCATGGTGGTACATCTATGTGAGAAAACAAAGGAACATTTTACATAAACATCAGGAATACAATCACCTTAATGGAAATGTTAGAATATCAAAGGTAACAAACCCATAGGACAGTTTGTTTGCATGATGTTCCTTGTGGCTTTTTACTGTCACAACCACACACACTGAAGTCCAAAACATATGAAACCAGTGTTACCGGTTTCCTATTACACGTACATATAGGACTCAACGATATTTGAGTTGTTCATGGTGGATTCCTTTTCCGAAACTCCCAGATGTGCCATGTCAAAATGCAACAGGGATCCGAAGAACCCGGCGAATTGAACGAATGTCTCCCAGCGAGTCGAATGAAATCCCAGGTCAGACGTCCTCCGGGAGTCACAGGAAAGGGAAGTCAGTTACAGTATTTTTCTTCTGTCGTCGAAGGGCATCTGTGGAGGAAAGGGGAGTGTATATGCGAGGTGAGCAGCTACCAGAGGAAATCTGACGCTGTGATCACGGGTCAAACAGGGATCCCCATGCGAAGCTTCTTCTTCTTCACCGTCTTCATGCCGGTGAGCCGGCGAACATCGTCTTCGTCCGACTCGTCCATTTCATCGTCTGCTGAGAAAAGGATCTATGAAACAGAGAAGAGAGATAAGCAACCATTACAACAAAGTGGGAGAGAGGTTCATGAGGCTGAGTTCAAAGGGATACTGCATTTCAGAAATGCCCAAAGAAAAGCCCAATCTTTACAATATCTGGTTTTTAAAAAATATATATTTGTTGTGATAAATGGCTGAATGTTTTGAGATGAATCCAAGGATCTTCTTCAACTCTTACAAACTGGAATATATTGCAAAGCTAAACAAGGAAATAAGCCGTGTTTAGAGGAGTTAATTCAATACATAACATTTGCAGTTTTTTCTACTTCAACTGAGGATATGATGACTGCTGTGACTCAAAAAGGGGTCCAACAATATTGTTTTTCACATTTGGTTGTGGGCAGAGTTGGGTGTTACTGTAATAATATTACTTTTGTCGGTAACGGAGTAGTGTAACGCGTTACTTTTATAATTCAGTAATTACACTACAGTTACTAACATTGCCCCGACACGCGTTACTTTGTTACTTTTATAAAATCAGTCATAATCACACTGACAGACAAGAGGGGTTTCCGCCGCTGGTTTATATGTACGTAATCTGCGCGACTTGCTCGTCCACATCTCCGGCAGTGCTGCATAAACATGGCAGAGTCAGCGATAACTTTCGAGGGGTGGAGGTATGCCCATTATTTTGAGTTTGTCCGAAGAATAGACAGGAATGTGACGGTGAGGTGCAAACTGTGTCCAGGCCAGAAGCTGTTATCCACTGCTGCAAACACCACGTCAAACCTCAACAAACACCTGCAAAGAACACATGCTAAGGTGAAGCTAATAGCTAAGGACCCCCGAACCCAGAGTGAGGATGTTGTGAGTCGCCGCCGCCGACCCTGAAGCGGCACAAAGTAGAATTTGGAGGACCGGTAACCAAAGCAGAGATGGACAGGCTTGTAGCATCCTTCATAGTAGAGGTAATGTTGCCCATTTGCACAGTGGAATCACCATCGCATCGTTCAGAGATATACTGCGCAAAATACAGATAGCAGGAGACAGAGGACAGCCATAGTCAGAGCTATCTGGATCAGTCTTATGCGACAATGGAAACTGAACTAAAGAGAACATTTGAAACTTTAGCAGTCTGCGTGATCTGCCTGCAGGGAGGGGCTGGCCGGCCCTGCGAGTAAAGTAACGAGTAAAGTAACGAGTAAAGTAACGAGTAAAGTAACGAGTAAAGTAACGAGTAAAGTAACGAGTAAAGTAACGAGTAAAGTAACGAGTAAAGTAACGAGTTACTTTATGTAGAGAGTAACGAAGTAGTGTAATATATTATATGTGTAATATGTAATATGTAATATATTACTTTTTTTTAGTAACGACCCCATCTCTGGTTGTGGGTCTCAAGAAAATGTAAACCGAGTGGTAAACTCAAAACAGCAGTTGCCCTCCATATCTCTATAGTCCTCAGAATGGATCATCCTCTAAAAACACTGGGTACAGCTAGATAACACCTTTTATTAGACTCTCCCTGCCTCACTTATTTCAAACCCTTCCCCCTACCGTTTGTAAGGCACGCTTTCTGTTGTAAATGTTATGCCTCAAGCCCAAACCAAAAAGAACCCGCATGACATAAAGGTTATTATCACAGTCGATAAAGCCCCACAGAAAACATACCACGTGTGATGTATGTTGAAGCACAGAGAAGTCCTGTTTCTGTGTTACTCAGTAATGTATCTGCTGTGGGAAGAAACCACGGTGACTAACATGCTTCTAAATCCCTTTCCTCTGAAAGACATGATCAAGTAATACTTTTATTTTGATAATAAGATCAGCTAAAGCTTGATTCCACACAACGAAAAAGATTCACGAGCCAGCCAGGAGTCGAACCTAGAATCTTCTGATCCGTAGTCAGACGCGTTATCCATTGCGCCACTGGCCCGCTGTGAAACTCTCTGCTGCTGTGAGCTATTTATGGAAGCTCGAGCAGCTCTGCCCTTCCCCCACAGCTCAGGCAGCTGCAGAACACAAGCATGCAGTGAAGCCATGAGGCTGGCTTTTGTTTGCAATGCTTTGACCATTCAAATGTTAAAATGCCTCGAAAAGCAGCTCTACATTTCCTCACTAGCGTGGGCCACTGACAAGGAATGCACCACTATTTGTGACAAAAACAACACTGTTAATCTAATCTTTTACAGCGGTCATCAGCAGTTATATTTGAATGAAAAATAAAACATGTACTTTCCCCAATCTGATATTGAATTTGATTTTATCAGATTTCTCATGACTTAAAGTAGCAGCAGCTCATTTGTATTTAAAGCTACAGACACATAATCAGCACTTTTGAAACAGGGCTGAAACAGAGGGGTTTATGGGATGCTACAATGCATGATCTGTTTGGTATTTCGAGCCAAACACTTCAGAGACGTGTTTTATATATATCTGAGACCTAGGGCTGTGCAATTAATCGTATTTTAATCGCAATTACGATTTTGGCCTGCCACAATTACGAAAACAACATAATCGAAAAAAACGATTATTTTGCTTTGCTAGGTTGTAACATATTTGATCTAATTTATTTTAGTCTAATTTATTTGTATTTATCATATTTACATATGTTTAGTAGCTTGTTGAAGTGCGCTCCAAAATATTTGTTGATCTTGTTTATTGGTATTTATTATTTTGATATTATTTATTTAAATGTATCATTTATTTTATTTATTTTTGTATTGGTTTTTCAGTTGAATTATACGTTCAGGGTAATCAACAGTTAAAAAGATACTGTTCAAATTATTATTTGTATTTGTTTTAAAGTTCAATAAATGGATGTTTTCAAAGTCAATGAATAATCGTATTTAATAATCGTGATATCAATTATTGACCAAAATAATCGTGATTATGATTTTTGCCATAATCGCACAGCCCTACTGAGACCTATAATATATTGATGAAAAAGAGTATAATAGGGGACCTTTAAGATATAAGAGAGAAGGCAAAAACGACTTTGGGTTGCCTCTGCTTTTGCTGCCTCTGGTACAGTGAGTCACTTTACATGTGTAACCACAACCTCAGAGACAACTTGGATTCAAAGGTGTTTGAACTAAAAGAGAAAGGGAAAAAAAGGAGATGGTGAATCCGGTTTACAAGGACAAGCTGCAGGGACATGTGTGCACTACAAGTGTGTAATCTGGGTTTAATCGTTGCAATAATTTGACCACTCTAAACACTTCCTAGTAAAAACGATTTTGGATAAATCTAGAAATGGACAGTGCTTGTGTCTGCTACACACACTTCAGACCAACAAAGTAAATGGGTCGATAGATGAACAAATTAACGTCAAAAGTAATTCACAAGCCGGGGAGGAGGGAGAGCTGGGATCTTCTGATTTATAGTCAAATCAATGTGTTATCCATTACACCACCGGCCTCTGTGTGGCTCAGAAAACACAGATAAGCAGCAAAAAACACAAACCTGAATACCTGAGACTTCCTTTTCCCGTTTTGCCGGACCCGTTCTTCTCTACCAGCTACACAGCAGTAAATACAGACATTAAGTTAGCTCATCCGTTACCAGCTGCAACACACACATTATCTGTGGGACGGATAATGGTACTCTGATTCTGATTATGCATCAATCATTATAATACAAAAACTTAACATATATGATTTTGACATGGGCCTCTGAGTGCTTTTTTAAAAACTTTAACTTAGTCTATTTTGATGCTTAATAATACTGTTGTACTTCTACTTGAGTAACATTTTGAAAGTAGGAATTTTAACTGAGTATTTTCATTTTTTTATTCTTTTAGTGAAGTACACACACTGAGAACTTCAAGGGTCTTTTGCTGCATGATGACACTCTCTTTTCCTTTGCATTTCCTGTCACTTTCCAAGCATTCAATATCCAATAATCAGTAATACCAAAAAAGAATATCCTTGATCGATAATCGGTCAGGGGACAACTCTATGACATCAACGTTTATACATGTTAAAGGAAACTATAACACTGTGAGGAATCAGCAGCCTGCCTCATACTCCCTTTCTGTTCTCACTGAGGGTTTGTGTACTTAAAGAGTATTCATACACAAAATATACTACTTCTTTGCCACGATCTGAGTATGCGTCCAGGTTTTTTTTCACCTACTCGACTGCCCCACAATGCACTGCGTCTGAGGGGTTGGACATTGGGGTGGGCTTTGGGTGGTCTTTCTTGCCTAAAGAGGACATATTATGCTCATTTTCAGGTTCAACCCCCAAAAGCATAATGGAGCCCCTTTAAAAAGGTTCCTAACTGAGAGAAATGACCCGGAAGAACCTAAATGGCAGCCATGATAAGAACTGTTTGAATTCCCTTGATCAAATCAAATCAAGTTTTATTTATATAGCACATTTAAAAAACAATTTTTGGTCGAGCCAAAGTGCTGTACATGTAATAAAAACACTTTATTGCGATAGCAAACAGAAGACAATAAATTACAACAGCAAATATAAAAATCAAAACACAGGGAAATGTCAGGAGTCGTACTCCGCTCTGACTAGAAGGCCAGGGAGGAGAAGTGAGTCTTTAGTGTTGATTTAAAACCCCCTAGGGTCTGGGCCGACCTCACATGGAGGGGCAGAATGTTCCAGAGCCTAGGGCCAGCTGCTGCGAAGGCTCGGTGACCTCGGGTTTTAAGCCTGGTCTTGGGCACTACCAGCAACAGCTGGTCAGCAGACCTTAAAGCTCTGGCTGGGGTGTAGCGCTGGAGGAGTTCGGCTATATAGACCAGAGCCAGCCCATTTAGGGCTTTGAAAACAAATAAAAGGAGTTTAAAATCAATTCGGAACCAAATTGGAAGCCAGTGCAGTGAGGCCAGAATTGGGGTGATGTGGTCACGCTTTTTGTGGCCAGTGAGTAGACGTGCAGCTGCGTTCTGAACTAGCTGCAGGCGTCTAATTGATGCCTGGTCCATACCCACATACAGAGCGTTGCAATAATCCAGCCTCGTGGTTACAAAAGGCGTTAATAACCCTTTCTAGGTCTTTAAAAGATAAAAACGACTTGGTCTTGGCCAATAGTCGTATTTAAAAAAAGCAGGTCTTGACTACGCTGCTGACCTGCTTATCAAATTTAAAAGCGCTATTGAAGGTCACTCCAAGGTTCATGACAGAGGAGAGGATGTTTTTGATAAGGAAAGTTGCTTCAATGCTCTCTTAGTTAACTCCTTCAGCATAGGATACGCTGACCATCCTTCACGAAAGGAAAGGAAATAATGCATTCCCACAAGGCCTTGCAGCTGTACTTTAAACAGTAAGATCAGTGTGCCATACTGAGACTGTTTCAGAAAGGCTGTTTGTGGCTGTAGTCTAAATCCTTGATTGTTGGTCACCTTCAACTCAGGTGTGCCGACAGTTGTTTAAATGTAGCTAAAGCGTTAGTTCAGTCAAGAAGAGCTCATTATGGGCAACCACTCTTTACATTTTACCACAATCTCCAGCAGCCAATCATCGTTCTGCAGTCAACATTTAAATGTGTTCTACTCTCTCCTGCAGTCAGCTGTGATTTCAGGCATTAATGCTGCGGCCTAGACCCCGGGGGAGTTCCTATTCTACTTACTGCTGCACATCCCCCTTAAGATATGTGTTATCATGATTGGGGTCTTATCGCTAAAGAGTGAGGGTTGTTAGTCTCTGCTGATTGAACTGAAGTGACACTTACCTCGGACTCTGAGTCGTCATGGGACAGAGCTCGTCTGTAGCGCACCTTGCTGTTCCCCCGCGAGTCCTCCTCTCTCTCCTCCAGCTTTGCTTTTGTCCTGTGCTTCTTCATGAGGAAATTATCTACCACCCAGAACATGAGGGCCTAAAAGCAAACAGAAAATACTTCAGTGAATTATATCTCGCCACTGGGAATTGACAGAAGTGATTTTTTTACATTCATAAACACACAAGAGAATGAACATGGTATGAACAAAAAAGGATGAATCTGAATTAAACTTGACATGTAGGTGTAGCGTTGGTGAAGCCGGAGCAGTGAAATGAGGGTGCAAAGAGAAACACAAAGTAACAGCGGACTTACGTTGACGAAGAACGGAACGATGAGCATGACGATGGCCAGCTCCAGGTCTGGGTTCTGTATGGGGTTGAGGAGAGCCAGCTGCGACACACACACACACACATACACACGAGAGCACAGACATGAGCAAATACACAGCACACAGTTCAAAGACCAGTTGAAAGAATAATTAAGTAGAAGGATAGTCCGCCGAAGCTCACACCTCAACTTGGAATCTGCCAGACATTACCAAACGTAACCACAAGAGTCTGCAAATGGTAAAAGTTGAAGGGTAGAGTAAAAGCAAGTCTGCCATATGGTATCATTTGCTTGTTAAAGGGATTGTTCGGGATGGAAATGAGATGTTAACCTGAAGCTTTTGACTCTCACTGAGTTCATGTTGTTGTTACTAGAGGAAAAAGGTATAGATAGATAGCTATATTGAAAGCATGTTACTTTGCCTCTCAATACACTTAAAGAAACAATTATCTACACTAACTCTAAAATCCATGAGCTCTCTTCTTCTCGAAATAAACCTACAACAATAATCTGCAATTCAACGCACAAAAACCCCCAAATCTGTTCAAATGGAGCAAACAACACGACGTGAGCCGAACAGTATGGTGAGTGAGAGACGGTACGAAAAATAAAGGTTGTTTTTTCTTGCCTAATCCACTTGTTTGGGTAAAAATAATAATGGATCTGAAGGTATTGAATATTGAAACTGTGTATTTAATTGAAAAGATAACTATGGCAAAACTGAGGACTTATGTGACTTTATTTTCAAATAAGTTAAACTCTTTTTTCCTGACCTTCTTCCACTGAGGGATGAGGAGGACCAGCATGATGAGGACTTTCTCAAACATCATGATGAGGATGTAGAGGATGCACTGGCCCAACCACGCTGTGCACTGCACCGGCTCTCCTACACACACACACACAGGAAAACAGAATATGGTAAACAATATCTGCTGAGGTATATGTACAGCACAGATCTTTATCAGATTTCACCGCTTCAGTGATACACAAACTGTTTGAGGGTCAAACTGGTTTGTAGGAAAGGACATTGCAGCACTGCAGTCCTGAGGGCAGCTACTGCCCTCCAATGGGCATTAAAGGCATTACAGAATCTGCTGGAGCACACTTGACCACACACACACACACACACACTCACCGTATTCCCCAAAACGCAGAGACTCCCACTGCCTCCACTCTACGATAGCACTGACGGCTCTCACCCCGGCATAGATCAGCAGCATGCCCAGAGAAGCGTCCAACAGGAAGTTAATGAGGTATCTGGGGAGAGACAGTAAAGTGTAACTTGAGCTTTCCTGCTGGACAGCCTAGCGATTCCCGGCTAGAATTCAACCTCATGTCTACTTATCTTAATAACACAGTTTATTGGATATCTATTTGTAACATGCGGGATCAGGGAGCTTTTAGGAATACAGGACTGACTCACAGTGAGCAAGGATCCTCTTCTGTGAGGTCTGACAAGTAGACATTAGCAAAGTGGATAAACAGCATCCCAATGGCCTGCTTCGAGGTGTCCAGGAACCTGCAGAGAGACGGGACATTTGATAAGCGTCAGAGGGACTCCAGTGGGATTCATTTGATGCCTTTGCAGAGAAACAAATTAAAGCTGGCTCAGCAGCATTACCAGATCCTCCAGGGTCTCCTCTCATGCTTTGGCTCCCTGAAGCGTTTCACTGTGAGGGAAAGAGTGTACCACAGAGATAGTGGGATTTTAATGACACACTCACACAAACACAATGAAAGACAGAATCAATCAAATATAATGTTTTTTTTCTTTTATTTGACCAAGGTATATGTTCTTGTGAGCTGTCATGAGTCAGGTGAGCATTTTGTTGATTTTATAGAAGGTCGTCTGTTTAGTTGAACTGATAATACTGCCTTGTATTGACATTTGCATGATATATCAATGGCTGACTTCCCTTTTAGTGCAGTTAAACTGTGAGTAGTAAAACAGTAGTATAAAGTAGTAGCTGTTTGGGTAAAGTAAGACAGGCAACAAAATACAGGCTAAACCTATATAACTGGCTAATGCAGAACAAGAAACCTTTTAAGAGCAATGTTTTGTTGGTCACAGAGGAAGCAGAACTAGTGGTCCAGACTAAAACCTAAAACCCGCAGCAGCTGGGAAATGAAGAATCCGGTGCCCTTCTTTGCAGCAAAACAGTTAACAGGAAACAGAGGAACGTTTTTTTTCCGATGCCCAAAAGGTTCTCCCTTTTGAAGATAATCACACTCGAAACACTTCAATATTTAGTAATTAAAGTCTTACATATAGTCTGATAAAATTAGGAAACATAAGAGTAAAAAAGGGACAAAGATTAAGCTGTAATCAAACTGTAAAATAAGAGTGTTGTAAAGATAAAAAAACGTAACTGCAAATACTAAATTGTGTTTAAATTATGGGCTTTTTAGACATTCTTACTTTAATTGATCTCTGTATAAAATGAGTTTGAGGCATTTCACGCATGATCATTATTGGAAGCAACACAGCTCCAACACAAATGAAGCTCTTGCTCTTCTTGACAAAAGCAGCTTGTTTTCCATCACACCATGTTCTTTAACTCCTATGACACAATGCTGCATCAGCAGAGGCGAGCTTTACCACGTTGTGACATCACAGAGTACATTTTCTAAAGTTAAGACATACTCTAAATGTTTCGGATACCTCCCTGGACGTTTACCTTCTACATGAGCCCCTTTATTCTGACAATGTCACCTCTTAAAAGTTGCACTAAGTAGTGTAGCTTTTCCCAAGGCTTTCTGTGTTTTCATGCAGGAGACCTATACAGGGAGGTGTGACCTCAGTCTCTGTTTCGAGCACAAGCGTGACTTTAGAGTCTAACACAGGGTGTGTACCCTGTGTGCAGCTGGGTGTGATGTGAACACAGCCCTCAGCCCACTTCTTCTGCTCAGAGAGCTGCCTCAGGGGAAAGAGTCTGAAATGCTGAACATTCCTCATTGCTGCAAGGCTGTGGGACACGCACTACTGAGGCTGCTCTCATGAGGTCACACATCTGTCAGAGCTGTGCCAGACACTGACTGAATGGAACCACGGCTAAAGAGCCAGGGTGATTTTTCTCCCTACACAAATGTTTCCCTGTTTATCTAGTTATGAGGTTGGCTGCCCACCTCTAATGTAAAGCCTACTCATGGAGAGCTCGAAACAAATAGAACAATAACACTGTTTAAAATGCATATACAGAAGTTCTTACAAAACACTGAGGAGAAATAATTATGGCTTTTACAGTAGCAGCAGGGAACATTTTGTAACAGTCCCTTAGGGAAGTGTAACAAAAATCACTATTACAGTGAATTGGAAGTGTAGGCACAGTTTTTGAGTGAACTGCTAAAACACAAAGGTAAGTCCTTTTTCCTGCAATTGCTCCCTTAACTCCCTGACTTTTTACAAACTCTGACTGACACCTGCATAACAAAACCCCTATAGGGAAAACCAAAGCAGTTTCAACGAATATATATTCATATTTTGCAGCAGAGAAGGTCGAACATGTACCAGGAAGTGTGGAGAGTAAGCACATGTTAATACAACCACAGAGTAGTGACACACTGTACTGAAAAAACAGTTGTTTGCTTCAACATAGACAGAAGGTCTTTCCATCCTAGTAGTGTTTGCCTCCTTCTCTTATAGAATCGAGCACGCGCCTCCCAGCTGAAACCAATATCGCATTGATTGACAGAGTGATGCTATTGGTTAATTGCTCGTTCACATCAGCAGCCGGTGTCAGGTATCTGAGTGTCCATACTCACGCATCAGTATGCTGAAAGCCATCATAGCCAGGAGTCCTTGCAGGAAAATTCCAAACGAGTCCATTAAGGCTCCATTCTCGCAGCCCCGGGTATCGGTACCCGGCGCCGGGCTGTCGGACACCGAGGTGTTGGTGAAGGAGGACCGGCCAGTGCCACGTCCCCCGAGCATGTTCACACCGCTGACAGCAGCCATGGGACAGACGAGCAGCACGAGAGTAATTGATAATAGCTTCTCACACACGGTAGCTTCCCAGTCCTCTCCAGCAAGTGTCGGTCAGCTAATCGATGGGATAAGCCGGACAGTGCTCGGTGAAAGAGGGTGGCATCTTCTCCCGTCCAGGCGCACACTCATGCTACACACATGCATGCAGTCATAGCTAAGGTGTCATGAGAAGAAAAGCGCCAAAAGGTTACAAGAAGTTACAATGCCTGTTAGCAGGAACCGACTGCAACATTACAAATCAATCGCTAGTTTAGTTTTGCGATGATAACGTATCCCGTCTAAACCAGCACTCATGACATACCAACTAACCTGTCATGCAGCTTCTCAGACACAAAGGGCCGGTGCTACTTGTTTTAAATGTGTTGTACAATGCATGTCAACCACACGTGAGATTCAGGCGAGAGACAAGCGTCCATAGTAAAAATGAAATCCAGATGCTACACCTAGCTAGCCCCCAAGCTAGCTACTCAGTTATATTAAGCTAACTCGGCTAGCAAACTTAACATTTCCTTTTGTGCGTTAAGAAAAACCGGTGCACTGGTTCCTCGTTGCTTTAAAGAAAGTTAAAAAAAATAGCTAGTTTATGAGAATTGAATATGAATAATTGCAGGTCACGGCTCGTGTTCATCCAGCTGCTTCCCTGGCCAGCAGAGCCCACTCATGTTGACAGACGCACGGTCACGTGATCTGCGTAGCCTCGCACTGCATCCTGGAAAATGTATGACACAGCGGGAGGATGCAGGATTGAGTTTTATCAGTAGTGAAATACATTTACTCGAGTATTGTACTTTAGTACGATTTTGGGGTACTTGTACTTGAGTATTTTTATGTTATGCGACTTAATACTTCCACTACAATTTGGAAGCCAATACTATACTGTTTACTCGATTACATTTATCTGACAAAATGAGTTACTTTTCAGATTTATTAGCTAAAATATAAATAAACTATGATATATAATTATAGGTTAAGATATCAAGCAGCAGTGTATAAAACAATTAAAAGTAGCTCCACCTTTAACAGCTGTGATAAAAACATGATTATATAAAAAAGTAATGAGTACTCAAACTGCATCCTGGAAAAAGTATAGACACGTAGGCCTACACACAAACACACCAGGAGGCTGCAAGATTTTGTTATTCATTGATTTAATTGCAGTCATCTCTTAAATAGCAGTTATCGTCTTGGAATAGGAGAAACAAAGCTGCTCAATTGCTTTTAATATAACGCAAACAAGCAAATTAGTAAACAGAGAACCTATAGAGGTTTCTTTCTCACACAAAATGAACAATACAGTAAATCACACTACAAAAACTGGTAAAAAGAGGAAAACTAATTCACAAAAGTACTTTGATAATACCTTCTTGGTTTGAAACTGCAAAGTTATTCAGTTAATTGTTAAAAACAACAAATAAGAAATGGCTCAAATAATCAACTATAGCTGAATTAGTTAAAACACCCATATGAGAAAGTTTAGGTGTATTCTGTGCAAATATACTGTATATTTAGGGGAATTACACATTGCTTATGTAGAAATTGTATTTCTCTTTTTTTCTTTTTTTTCTAATCACCCTGTTGCACTAGAAGATATTTGATTATATATACACTATATACAAACATGCACTGTCATACTTGCATACCACCATACAGTACATGGTGTTGCTTGTGCTTGCATTACCTTACATTGTAAACTGCTCTTACATACTGTATAAGCTTGAACAACAATTTGAAATCTTGAGATGAGGGCCCACTTTTTTCAGTGTTTTTAGCAGATTGTATCTTAATTCACCTGGATGACATTTGCAAACTGTTAGTACAACATACATGTCTGGTGTTTACACTATTATCAATCTCTTAACCTTGGGACACTGTCAACTCCACAATCAGTTTCTAGTTTATTATTACGTCTGACTGTAATAATCCTACAAAACTTCTGGTTCCACCTGTATGCAAACAGTTTTCTTTCTTTGCTTGATTATTGGGATAAATGTTTTGTTAAAAATAAAAATGTGTCTAAACTAGAAACCATAAAAAAAGGCTTAAAGACACAGCATTTGCACTAGTCTTGATTTAGTGAAAAGGTTTGCTTTTAAGCGCTTCAATGTAGGAGGTCTGTCATGTCCTGCTTCTAGCCTTATCTGCACCAAAAAAACTAGAACGTATTTTCAACAAAATTGGACCCAAGTGATCGCAGATAACAGATATTCCAGGTTAAAGTAAAAGCTGTGATTCAGTGGTATTCCCTTGTACAGACAGCAGGTCAGGGAGAAATCAACAATGGACAAAACAGGCTGAGTTGTAGCACTGGCACTTGGTCATCCACATAAATAAAAGAGTACAATTCGGGACACTCTGAAGAAACACAAGTTCAAAATAATGTATCAAAACTAAGTAAGTCCTTGATGATGGCTTGCTTTGTTTTTGCGAAATATGCTGTAATTTAAACTCACTTAAGACATCAAAGTGTCTTGAATCGCTTCCGTTTTTCAGTTTCCTGCTGTGTCTTTCCTAAGGGGCACCTAAACTGTTAATTACTCTTAATTCCTTTCCAACACAACAAAGTATATTCATGATAGTAAAAGGACGTCCAGTGTTGTCAAAGTCAAAATTGGAAAAAACTGTGTTTTTCACAGAATGAATACACAGAACAGTATGCAGTCAGGTCCATGTTCATTCCCCGGCGGCTACGTGGCAAACTGCTGATAAAACGCCAGCTTGACCCTCTCAATGTGGTGGCACAGCTTGATGGCCGGTCCCAGCTTCAAGTCCATACACTCCTGCACTGTTGGGAGGTTCAGCAGCAAAAGTGCCTGTCCGTCAATCTCCTGCAAAACATACATTCGCATCAGATACAGTTTCTTAAAATAGCATTGCTTTCCAGGGAGGGTAAAGTGATGTTTTGTATCTGTGACCATGGATTCAAAACAAGTGTGTTATGCACTTATTGCAGTTGAATGGAGTGAGCTCTCATCCTGAGTGGCCATTAAGTCTCTGAGTATTTCTTACCTGATCCAAGAAAATCCGAGCAAGAGGAGCACAGTCAGTGGTCCTGATGAAGCGAACCACGTCAGTAACGCTCCACTCCAGCGGGCTGGTGTCTAAACACAACTTCGGAGGAGCCTCAATCTTTGAAGTCTATAAACACACAGATAGAGTGAGTCAGACAAAGACTCAGAGTATCCCAACTCATGCTGAGAAGGAGGAGGTTATTCATAAAAGAAAACACTGGCTGCTTCAGTCTTATTGGTTTTCTAAGGGTAAGTTCAGGTCAAGTTTAAACCGTAAAAACAATATTGGAATGGATGAATTAGACAAAAAAAGGCAGTTGTATTTGATGAAAGGGGCAAAGAGATCTGTATTGCGCTTTATACTACAGTCAGATTTGTAATATAAATACCAAAACATTATATTTCCATTTTCTTTCAATATTCATTATTAACTGTATTTGATTTAGCAGAGAACTTCATCAGGCATTGTGAAAAGATTTGTATGCAGATCTTTTTTTCCCAGTCTTCTTTGATCCTGCACCTCTAAAAGAGTTTTGCACATGCATACTATTTGTCTCAGTATTTATAATTATCTAGTCTTAAAAAGCGTCTTCTCATTACCTTTGGGGAAGGAGGGCGGTTCTCATCATCGGAGAACGAGGGTGAGCGGGGTTTCCTGCGCCGGCGTGTGGGTCTGGGTGTTGCCGGGGGGGAGGGGCACGGCGTGGCGGGCTGAGACTTCTCGATCGACTGTTCAGAATCATCCTGCAGGTCGGAGCCGGAGTCACTCAGGGAGTCATCTTCATCCAGATCTTCTTCGTCGCCGCTGCCCTGTACGTCAAAGGACAGTTAGCACAGATTCAGGTAAACTGTTCAAAGGTTTTAATGTCCTAAACACAGCTACAGTGTAGTTGTGCAATGAGGGTCACAGAGGCAGAATCAAAGTCAATGGTGATTGGTGCATTCAAGTAAATATGTATGTAAGTGCGTGTGTCACCTGTGGAGACCCAGCAGGCGTGTTATCCACAGAGGCGGAGGAGCGTCTCTTCTTATGGACAAAGAGCTGCTTCCTCCTCTTCCTCCTCCTCCCTCTCCTCTTCACTCCACCCTCCAGGTTGGAGTGGCCCCCGGGGGGACGGCCAACACGCTTACTCTTCTTCTTTCCATAGTAATAAGCTGGTGACAAGACGACAGGGTTATTGTGGAATTGTTGCATTTGACGTGCAACATTTTAATGCATCATTGATATAGATGGAAATGAATCGGTCAAACCGTTTTGAATACTTTTTTTTATTGTAATACATGTATTCTCTTAAAGCAGGGGTCTCCAACCTTTCTTCATCTGAGAACTACTTTGAAAAAATGAAAGTGGCCAAGAGCTACTTGCATCACATCGCTTACATTTATTCACATAGCCCTCATCAGTTGAATTAAGCTATACTTTTGTACACGTGTGAAATTGCAATACCTAAAGCTTATCAAAAATCTTAACTTCACATCAATGTTCAAGAAAACGAAAATGTCTCACATATTATTACGGCCCACATAGTAATCACTGAGAATTCACATAAATGTCCTTAATCACCACCTGACAAGCATTTCACTCTTTTTTTACAGTCAGTGAGATGATTGGCGCTGCATGGAGTCCACCATACAGGTGTATGCTGGAGTGTACCCACTTAGGTTCACTCTAATAGAGTCATTTAAATGTTAATCAGTCAGTATTGTTCTGTATTTAGATTATATGACATTCATGTCAGAAAAAGCTGCTTGACAAAGGCTGGTGGAACAGAACAAAATAAAGCAGACATTTTCAGTGCTGCTTGGTGAATGTTCTTATAGTTTTCTGGGTCCACAAGCCTCCAGAAATGTTGTGAGTTTTGCTGAGACTTAAACTGAACATTATTTTGGAGATCTCCACAGGATTGACACTGAACAGTGCAGCCATCTTTTTCTTCTTCTTCGTCTTGACATTAAATTATAAACCATAATAAATCAATTGTATAGGTCTAGCCTCCCTATATCTGTGTGTGAAATTGTTCCATCCTCAAAAACAAAAAACTAATACTTCTGCAGTCTAGCTGCAGCTTCTAGCAACGGCCTTCTGTTAAAAAAAAGACACTGAATGTCTTGAATGTGGCATCACACACATGACTTGAGTCTGAACACAGCAGACAACAGGAGTATTTACAACAGCATTATAAAAACAAAAATAGTGCATGTGGGTGCAGACTTACATTCTCTGTCTTACTGTTACATAAATCCCATGAATGTATGAGATTAAGTTAGCTTCATCATCTCAATCAGTGATTAAGTGAATAATAAAGTTTATATCGGGTCACTATCAGCCTGTCACTCATTATTTTCAGGGAGGGGGCGGGGTTTGGAGGAACGGAGAGGAGACGGTGCATTTATTGTCGTCGGATTTTTCTACACAGTCTGTGAACCGCGAGCGGCGAGCTACTGAAAAGCTGCCCGCGAGCTACCGGTAGCTCGCGATTGACGTGTTGGAGACCCCTGTCTTAAGGGAAGCAGTGATAAATACCCAAGAGGGGAAATGTGCTGTCTAGAGTGATATTAAAAAAGTGAAAGTGTGAAAATGTTTTCATTGCTATCACATTGCATCAGTCTTTAGCTCCAGTTTTGCAGCGTAAACACATCAACAATTCGATTTGAAATTGAAAACAAGTGTGACTTTCTACGGTCAAAATAGTTCAGTTGAAGACAAAAGAGGACAATTCTGACATGTTTAAAGCAAAACGTACATCCATTATCTGTAGGAAGTAATGACATTTCTAAATCACACATTCTGTCCGTGTGCTTTGCAGGGTTTCTCTATTCATTAGGCGAGCATTCACATACTCAATCATTTCTATTCATGAGCAACACAAATGAAAAGAGCTGAAGGTTTCTTAAAAAGGAAAAAATAATGAGCTTTGTATTAAATTAGAATACGTTTGAATAATGTTAAGAATTAAGGTCACAGCTGACAAGCAAATATAGAGAGTACTAAGCCATTACAATTAAAGCAATTAGAGGTTATGTTCATAGTCTGCTCTGATAAAAAAGAGACCTCTCCACAATCTGCAGTGTGTAGTTCTGTAAACCACCTACTGTATTTGGTCTTGGTGAGGACAGAGCAGTTTTCTGAGCAGCGCTCCAGAACCATGCGAGGTCCGAACAGGTTCGGGCAGCACTCGAGCTTGATGCATGTTTTCCTGCAGAAGTCTGCCACACGGTCTGCAGTGCGGACTATTTCCACAGTGGCCCGGTAACTCTTCCCCTTGTACCTGACATTGAAGGAAAATCAAGGTTACATATTAAATACATAGCTTTGAATCCTTAACATTTCCACACAATATTTGGTTAAAAAACATTATTTTAAAACCGACTCATCCCACTCACTAAAACTTCTATTATATTCATGTTTGATCCAACAAGGACGCTACGACCTGCAAGTTCTCTCTTAAAAGAAACTCAGATGTTAAATCATCACTTTAAAGAATCATCAGACGCTTGTGCTGAGTTCCGCTGTACAGATATTTATTTCCACTTGTGCATTCAAGCACATTTTAAATTCAGCATGTGTTTTAAAATAGGCCAGCTGCTACTCCTGCAGGTTTTCTACAGAGTGCAGTACTTTGAGATGAAGATTAAATGGTGCTTCCCCTCACTTTGCTTTGAGTGTCTCTCCATGGCCCTGCCAGCGGCTCTCCTGGTCCAGCTGCAGCTCCCTCAGCACCCGGCTGGGCTTGTATGCCGAGTTTATCAGCAGAGTAAGTACCTGGAAACGAAAAGAAGACAATAAGACATGCAGAGAATTGCAACACTCATAGGTTATCTGTAGTTTGGAGGGATTTGGGATGGGATTTTATTTTGTGCAGCATTTAAACATCCAACTGTTAAATATTAATACCCATACAAGAATTTCATTATCGTTTAGGTGTGACTGTTGTCAGTAGATTAGCAGCCTTTATATTGTGTGTCATTGGTTATTAATCATTAAGATTGTTTTGTAGTAGAAAGGGCACTGCCAAAGTCAAGGAGAGAAAGATTGAGCAAAACACTGAATTCTCAGAAATTATAACATTAATTTACTGAGAAATGAAAGGAAGGAGCACATGTGGAAACTTCCTAATTCGGTCAGAATGCAGTAGGGTTTCTGGGAAATGTGGTCTTAAAACCATCTTGTGAGATAAAGGGTTTGAAAAAAACGACTTGAACACTTATAATTCTACAGCCACGTGATTTGAGCTAAACGCTAACTTTAGCATGCTAACATGTTTACAAGGACAATGGTCAGCTATACTGTTTACCATGGTTATTATCTTAGTTTAGCATGATAAAAAGCTAACATAAAAACACATAGCACAGCTATGATGATCAGAATCTCCAGCAATTGAAATTACACATTTTACTGAATGCTAACAGAAAATATTTCTCAAAGCTTTCAGTACATCTACTGGGAATCAGAAATGTCTGTACAAATCTTTATGACCACACATGAAGGCAGACCCAAAAACCAACATTGCTAGCCAGTCATCCCACGAGCATAGCTAAAAAATTAAAGTATTATCGTATTGTATCGTATCGTATCGTAAAACAAAGATTTAGAATTGATAACTTTTTGGTGGTATTCATGCAGTTAATAGCTGGACTAGCCCCTCTCACCTCTTTGAGCACCAGGACACAGTTTCCAGGCCCAATGAACTGAGGAAGCTCAGCAATGCGTCCCTTGTTAAGGTACGGCCCAGAGAAACAGCGGTGGTTGAAGTAGATCTTGGGGCAGGTGTATTTCCCGTTCCCCTGTCCTGTACATGGACACAAAACAGGAAACAAATGATACAACAACCACAGACTACACAGACAGTCATGAGACAGCACATATCACAGTGTGGATATCACCAGAGACATTACACTCACCTGTCTCTGAATTGTAGCCCATGTGCTGCTTGACGTCAGGTGATGATGACTTAGGTGGAAATCGACTGCAAAATGAAAAAGATTGTTAAGATGTCGAAAGGTCAATAAGTCTCATCCATTTTGACCAATAAAGCAACAAGAAAACGTCTTATACTCACTGTTTTTCTGGCTGCACCACAGCAATCTTCCTGTCTTTTTCAACTGAAAAACAAGGACAGACTAATTTGTTCCAAGTCACACAAGGACATGTTGCTACTCATTTAGATGTCAGGGTGATAACTTGTTTGTGTTGTGTTTGTTGGAGCTTTAGTAACAGTCTCATTAGGGCAGATGTGTAAAGATCAACAGTCCACCATGATGATGATGTTTTTACCTTGAGGTTTGATGGGGAAGACGAGTGGGTAGCCGTTAGTCTCGCACCAGCTGACGGGGAAGAGGTCCATGGAGTCCACATGAACTATCAGCTCGGGCATGGGCTGCTTAAGTCCTGTAAAAGAAACACACACTGTTATTAAACAATCACCGACAACAAGCAGCGGCAAAGGCATCCCAGACTGCATTCTTACCCTAGCATAGATGCCAAATTCAGCAACTGTGACATTCTTCACTCCTTACACACATTATCTACGCTAGGAGTGACACTGGGGGGGATCATGTGTTTGGTCTATCCGCAGCTTATCTTACTTACTACTGGAACCATCAGCCAAATATTTTTGTGCACATTTATGACTGTATGCTCACCTGTCGTGGTTTCTGTGATGCACATTTTTTGCAAAAACAACTTTATTTACTATTTTATATGATTAACAACTGCTTCAGTAGCAACATAGCATATTAGGCAAATTGGCAAGTCTTAAAACAAGCCTCACCCAATCTGTCTGGGCACATTTGGCCTTTGTTGAGATTGAACTGACATCCATAGGAAAGTTTGCTCTCATTTTGACCAAGGAAAACCTCCAGATTACTTCCATACCCAATATGTTAGGATCCACTGCAAGATACACGATAAATAAATCGCAAATGTTGTTATCTTAGCTGCCAGAATGCCTATAAAGAACGCAGACGGGACAATTTAAATGTTATTATTTTTGGTTTGGGAGGAAATAGAGACACACATGGAAGAGATCTACAGTCCAATCAAATTTTCAGAGGAATAGTATTTTGTGCAGTAATTTAATATGAGCGCATTGTCATAGTGATGTATTTACAGTGTATGGACATAATGTCCCCCATAATAAAGTAAACAACAACTGTCACAACATTCAAATGATTTGCTTTTACTTGCAGGCTCATATGTGACATTTATAAATGCTAATTTTAAAACGTGTATCAACAGTTTTCAAAGTGTTTTAATAGTTTTTACATGCTATAGCAAAATATGAATATGTTGTATTTGAGGTGTGCAACACTTATCTCCACACACAATAGAAAGGCAGCAACTAAACCATGAAGCCATATCATTCAGATTAAATCCACATACTGACATGTAAAGCATTAGCCTGTGCACTGAAATGTTAATGTTCTACTTTCATCCGCTAAAATAAACACATTCTTCACATTCATTAACGCCTCTCACCTTCCAGGCTGAGCCAGATGTACTGCCCTTTGACCCCGGTGACAGTCACCACGTGAATGTTCTCAGGGGACAGCAGGTTGACAGCCTCCAGTTTCATGGCCTCTTTGAAGCTGTGGTCGCACTGCTCCTGTTTTTTTTTTGTCCAAAAATAGAGAGATAAGTCACACCGAGACACCTGTTTGCAACTCATTGCATCACATTTCATAATGCTGTCTATTAAATGGTAAAACAGTATTTTTATATTCTGTCGTATAAAACCTCATACCAGACTGAACGGTATAGAACAGGGGTCTCCAACCTTTCTTCATCTGAGAGCTACTTTGAAAAAATGAAAGTGGCCAAGAGCTACTTGCATCACATCGCTTACATTTATTCACATAGCCCTCATCAGTTGAATTAAGCTACTTTTGTACACGTGTGAAATTGCAATACCTAAAGCTTATCAAAAATCTTTACTTCACATCAAGGTCCAAGAAAACAACAATTTCTCACATATTATTACGGCCCACAGAGTAAGTACATCACTTAACATTCACATAAGTGTCCTTAATCACCACCTTACAAGCATTTCACTCTTTTTTTAGTCAGTGAGATGAATGGCGCTGCATGGAGTCCACCATACAGGTGTATGCTGGAGTGTACCCACTTAGGTTCACTCTAATAGAGTCATTTAAATGTTAATCAGTCAGTATTGTTCTGTATTTAGATTCTATGACATTCATGTCAGAAAAATCTGCTTCACAAAGTAGAGCCAAATAAAGCAGACATTTTCAGTGCTGCTTGGTGAATGTTCTTATAGTTTTCTGGGTCTACAAGGCTCCAGAAATGTTGTGAGTTTTGCTGAGACTTAAGCTGAACATTATTTTGGAGATCTCCACAGGATTGACACTGAACAGTGCAGCCATCTTTTTCTTCTTCTTCGTCTTGACATTAAATTATAAACCCTAATAAATCAATTGTATAGGTCTAGCCTCCCTATATCTGTGTGTGAAATTGTTCCATCCTCAAAAACAAAAAACTAATACTTCTGCAGTCTAGCTGCAGCTTCTAGCAACGGTCTTCTGTTAAAAAAAAGGACACTGAAGGTCCTGAATGTGGCATCACACACAGGACTTGAGTCTGAACACAGCAGACAACAGGAGTATTTACAACAGCATATACAAACAAAAATAGTGCATGTGGGTGCACACTTACATTCTCTGTCTTACTGTTACATAAATCCCATGAATGTATGAGATTAAGTTAGCTTTATCATCTCAATCAGTGATTAAGTGAATAATAAAGTTTCTATCAGGTCACTATCAGCCTGTCAACCATTATTTTCAGGGAGGGGGCGGGGTTTGGAGGAACGGAGAGGAGACGGTGATCGCGGAAGCTTTCCTCCTGCCTTCACAAACTTTACACACGTATTTATCAACTGAAAATAGCAAGAGGACATTCATACTCTGCAATACAAGACTTGATTAAATCCACAAAAACCTGACATGGTGCTAACGCGAGTATTTTTTAAAACATAAATCCATGTGTGTCCGAGCCGCAACGACACGGACTGATTCAGGTGCATTTATTGTCGTTGGATTTTTCTACACAGTCTGTGAACCGCGAGCGGCGAGCTACTGAAAAGCTGCCCGCGAGCTACCGGTAGCTCGCGATCGACGTGTTGGAGACCCCTGGTATAGAACAATATATATCCCATGTTGTCCATAGTACAATTATAACAAAGATAAAAAGAAAACTGACTATATGATCACTTGTTTGCTTTGCAGGATTACATCATTGATCTGAGCAATGTTCAACCTCTTCAAACGTACCGAACCCGTCTACGTCACATACAGTTTACACAAGAGATCACCAGATACAGGAGGCTGCTACAGAACAAAGCTTTCAGAGAGCCTTGGTTATACTTATTTTCAAGTTAATTTAGACGGAAATTTAAAAACATTTTGTTTACAAAAAAGAGCTCTTATGTAGCCAGAATTGCTGCTTGGATAAAACAACATCAGTAACAGGAAGGAGGCTTTATATCTGAAAGCTTGCTAATGGTGAATAATTAGTTTCCATTAATGCAGGCACAGCACATGATAACACATGTCAAGCAGCCTTAAACGACAGCTATATAATCAAAGTAAGCTACAATTTCATATTTAATTTCCATTCTACCACAGACCAAAGGAAAGGACCAAATGCACTTGGCTCATGTTAATAACTCTTTTCACATCAACTCTTTCACTGACATGAATCTGTTGATGGCTTTGCATAAAAGACCACCTGTAACACCGAATCCTGATCGGTGTAAACTCGGTATACAAACGCTAAAACTGAGCTTGACTTACAGTTGGAAAGCAGTGTTGAGGAGCTGCCTCAGCCTCGCACTGTTTCAGGTAATCCGCCCAGTCAAAGTCCGGACCCTGGTGTCCTGTTTGTGATCAAATAAAGAAAGAAGTGAGAAAGAACATCACACAGGGAACACATGCAATCTAATCACCACTGTTCCTCAAGTCTCTGATATCACTGATAACCATTAAAGTGAGTGGTGCTAAAAAAAAGGGACGACATCTGACCTGGTGGGGGGCTGAGAGTGACTCCATTTTTAAGGCACCACTGAGTAGGGAAGATCCCGGGACTGTCTCTGTGACACAGGAAGGACCTCCCAGCAGCACCGTCTGACTCCTCAATGCCACAGAGGTCGTCCATCTTCACCAGGAAGTACTGCTCATTGAACACCTGGAGGGGAGAGGAGGACATTTTAGGACACTTACAGACGTTCTTAATTGACGGCTTTAAAATGTTTTACTATCCAAGTCACATCAAAGACTTATACTCCGAAATTCTATCGGACTGTGCAATTAAAAAGCAAAGTTCAAAGGACATTGTTTCAGCATTGTAGATAGTTAAGTGAAAATGAAGACGGAAAGCATACACAACTAAGGCTAATAAACAGCACCCAGAAAAACAACAACATGGCAGTGTAGGAGAGTCAGGTTTGATAGGAAAGTCTGTTACCTTGGTGACAGTGGCAGGCTTGATGGAAATGGGAGCAGCTGGGTCAACAGCTTCCAGTTTCATTCCTTCTTTGAAACAATGGGCGGCGATGGCAGGCTGATCCTGAGACGCAAAACAAGAACACATGCCGTTTAAAAAAAAAATTCAGCTCTGAGATACTCATTTCGAGGAGAATGTCACAACTGTTAGCTCAGTGCCTGATTATCAGATCTCAAGCAGTGCTGTGTTTGACAGACAGGAGACAACAGGTGGCAGTACCTTACTGAACTCTGCAGTCAGAGCTTCGTCCTGAGGCAGGTCGCTGATCCTCTGTCGCACCTCCTCCCACTCTGCTTCTGTCCGCAGGGCCAACAAGTCTGAAACACATAACACAACACAAAATCTAAACGTGACTTACTGGTGGATGGGGTATCATTTGATTAACAAAAAAAGTGTATTTAATGAAAAGCTAAGACAAAAGTGTGTGGACTTTACTTCAGACTTTCTTGTATAAATAACCTCTAATTATTTCGCCATCATTAGTTAAGTAAACACAAAACAGTGTGGTATGTATAATCAATTTAGATGTCTAATGATACCCTCACATTTTAAATTCCTTGTATTTCAGTACTGTGAATTCATCAAAGTATTGGAAAATGTTTATGCAACTCGTATGATAATTAGTAATAACCCTTTAGATCTAATGTAGTAAATAAACTTGACATGCATCCAGGCCACAAGTACCATGTGGATTCTTCACATGTCTTCCCGACAGAAGCTATTACTCATGGCTGCTTTGGCACTTAACCTCTAGATGTAGACATTGTTTTTTCTCCTTTCCTCCTTTTGTTCCTAAATATAAAGTGTGACCTGAGAGAGTGCCACTGACCTGAGGGAGGCCTGAGGGTGCAGCCGTGCTCTTTGGCCCAGCCGGGTGGGTGGAGGCGTGGGTGGAGGTAAAAGAGCCAGAGGATTGTGGGTGTGTCCGGGAGGCCCTCGGTTCCTACCAGACGCAACTTCAGCCTTCCTCCAACGTTCTCCTCCACCTCAGCAGCCCAGGCTGACCCCGGGTCAGCACCGTCCTGGATCTCCACGTAGCAGCCGGCACACAGCAGCTCCACCGGGTCCCTGCCCCGCTGCGGCTGTAGGGGGGGGGTAAATGAAAAGCTAATAGCACACACACTTACACAAATACAAATAAGCGCACGCCTAGGCAAGGTGAGGAATTTGCAGAGGGAGAGCGTGCTCTGCATGACTAAGAGGCCGAACTGAAGCACTGTCACTCAAAGCTTACTAACAGCCCCAAAGAATTTCACAGGATGTTCCTACAGCCAATTTGCTTTCCACAGCACGACCATGGTGCTGTGGAAAGCACACAGCCTTGTTTTTGTAGACTTGGGACTTAATGCAGGATACGCATGCAAGAATAGGCTAAAAAGTCATATTTAGTTCAAGTTTGCATTAATTCTAAACAACATTTTAAAAGGGGACATATTATGCACATTTTCAGATTCATACTTGGGTTTTGGGTTTCTACTAGAACATGTTAACATGCTTTAATGTTAAAAAAACACAATATTTTTCTCCTACTGTCTGCCTGAATTTACCTCTGTTCGACCTCTTTCTGAAATGCTCTGTTTTAGCGCCTGTCTCTTTAAAACAGAACCCGGAAAAAAAAAGGTCTGCTCTGATTGGTCAGTTTTTCTTTGCCTTCTGCACATATGCTTTTATTGTCCGTGCACCATAAATGCAGCTGGGGAATGACTGTAATGACCCTGTAACGGCACTTTTGAACTATTTATTTATATTTGTGGCGTAATAGAGTGCCACAGTGACGCGGTCATAAATCTATCGATTAGATTTATGATTAGAAAATTATAAAAGTAGGGTAGACATGTGGAGATTATCCGACTGAACAAAACGTGACCCGTCTCTTAAATGTGTGTCAACCACAGACCTTATTTCGAGCTATTTTCCAAAATCCTATTGAGAAATTGCATTGCATTTTTGTCGAGGGAACCGGAAGAAGCTTACTTCCGGGTTTTAGGACGCGTCACTGTGGCACTCGATAACATAATAGATAGCACTAGGGCTGCTCAATTAATCGTATTTTAAATCGCAATTACAATTATGGCTTGCAACGATTACGAAAACAATGTAATCGAAATAAAACGATTATTTTTTTATTATTATTACTTTTTTTTTTTTTTTAATTACTTTTTTTTTTTTTGGTTTTTCAGTTGAATTATACTTAAAGTTCAGGGTAATCAACTGTTAAAAACATACTGTTCAAATTTTTTTTCTCCAATAAATTGATGTTTTCAAAGTAAATGGATAATCGTTTTTAATAATCGGGATATCAATTATTGACCCAGATCATAGAGATTATGATTTGTGCCATAATCGAGCAGCCCTAGATAGCACCTAATCCTTTTAGTAAAGTTCTGGTCTCTTTGAACATTTCTAAATGGCAAAAAGACAAGGCAAGAAGAAACAAAGCATAACATTTGTACATATGACAGTTGTGTTTGTGTGTGTGAGTCAAAACCGCAGAGTCACATCTGACGATTCCCATTACTTGAGGGTATAAACTGTCAACTTGGAGTTTTTTTTATGTCAGTTGAATTAATCCACTTGCCTTGCCAGTTGAACGGCTGAAGGAGAAAGTCTACATTTAAAATCAGTTGTTTTATCTAACTGCATTATGTGTTTTTGAAGTTGTCAGATTAATATATTTGGTACTGAGATTGTTCTTGGTACAGAGAAAGACACCCTACACTTGAGGAGACTAATAAAGACACCGCCGTACCAGTTCCAGCAGGTTAGCGGGCGCGCTGCACTCCTCAGCAAGGGCCTTCTCCAGCAGAGCCTCCCAGTCCTGGTGCTTCTCACGCACACCTGAGGAGGAGAATATAAATACAGAGTTTATTTATCAACCAAACAAGCAGGTGGGCTGAGAATCACACATACACTCCTCTGCCTCTTAGTCACCCTGAGTCACCAGAATTAGCATAATACAAAATAAATATAGGAAGATATGATACAAAATGATTAAATCTAATAGCACTTTTTCAACATACTGTTAACAACTTTCATCTGTGTTATATTAACGGTTTGATGCAGCTTCCAAAACTGTTTTAACATGTTGCGTATCGAGGTGTCAAGTGCTAATTAGGTGACATAAATAAAAAATGTAAGAAAAAAAACACTGAATTTGCTTCAGCATCGTTCTCTTTTTTCATACAATACTAAAACATCACAAGGGCAACCGCACTGTATCAGTATAACTCCTAGGTATACTGAACAAAAGTGCAATTACTTAAGACTAATTCCACTGTTAAATGGCATTTTGTGCACAGTACTAAAAACGGTGTGTTACCTCCACTACTCAGCTGTCCCTGAAGCACTCAATAAAAATAAACTAGAAGCACGAAAGATGTTAAAAATGTGACAGCTCGAAATTGGAATCAAGTCTCAACAACATTTACAAAAAAAAGGTTAATATTTTGCCCCACACGATCATTTCATGGCTGACGAGTGCTGAGATCACTCAGATCACAATGCAACTTTTCGAGGTGATTACTCTTTTCACTACGCCTCTCACAACTAAAAACATCTCCCGCCAGTCCTCACCCTCGGGGGCCTTCATTGTCTTCCCGTGCTGGCGACTCCATCCCAGCGGGTGGAGGTCTGCCGTCATCAGGTCACACCAGAAGTCGGCACGCCGGTCATCCTGGTACCCCTCGTAGCGCAGCAGCAGCAGCTGGCCACATGTGGTGATGATGTTGGCCACCCAGTAAGGGCTGTCGGCCTCGGAGCGCACACACACCTCCAGCTTCATGCCCGGAGCCAGGCCGGTCTGCAGGCCCTGGTCCACCTGAGGCAAGGAACACACACTCACAGGTTAACCCCATTATTTGGCTTCTTATACAAGAAATAAAAGAGTGCACACAGAAAAGAAAAGCATATTTGATTCTGTGCTGTAATTGGTTTTTATTCGAGTTAAACCTACCTGCCACTATAGGAATCATGTGTAGTTAAAAGAAGCTTTGTTACTGCTCTTGGTGCTACAGTGACTTCTTGACTGTTTTATGACTCAATGCTTTTACATCCCCCCCCATCCTACATCATTGACCTGATCCACCCTCACAGCACAACCTGGGCCCTGCGGTCCTCTGAGCAAGGCCTCCTAAGGGTGCCCCGAACCAGGCTAAAAACTAAGGGGGACCGTGCATTTGAGGCGGTGGCCCCAAGGCTATGGAACAAACTCCCCCAGAAAATAAAAAACCTCTCCCTCAATAGAGATTTTTAAGGGGCAGTTAAAGACCCACCTCTTCCGACAGGCCTTTGGGGCGTCGGAGGAGGTGAGTTAGTAGCTGTCTTTTATTGGTATTTTATTGGTGTTTTATCGTATGTTTTTATCCTATGTATTACCTGCTGTTGTTTTATGCCTTTTTATACCTTTTATTCTACATTTTAGTTGTACTGTGAATTGTGTACTGTACTGTAAAGCACTTTGTACATTCGTGTTGAGAAGGGTGCTATATAAATAAAGTTTTACTTACTTACTTACTTTACAAGCTGACCCATTCCATACATTTGAGTCACCGAATCATTTAAACTAACTTGCAGTATCTTGAAAACTTTACACAGATGTTCAGTGGCTGATTACGAGAAGCTGGTACAAGCTCCTCCTGTGATGTGTGTTTTATGTGAGAGTTGTCAGCACCCACATGTTTGAAGGCGTGGTGTGGCACCGACACGGCTCCAGTCTCCTCCAGGTATTCGTCCCAGTTAAAGTCAGACGCATCCTGAGCAGAGTCTCTTTCTGGAAACACACACACACACACACACACACACACACACACACACATTTGACTTTTCCAACCCGCTTTCCAACATATTACGTACTCATGTCACGCAGCTGTTCACAGAGTAGTTCTTACCAGACTCCGGCAACTTCTGACTCATGCTGGTGCCCCCTCAAGGCCGAGACTAGGGGCTCTGAGGAGGAACAGAGGAGGAGGAGGATTATTATCCAGCGAGAGCAAATGAATGAGCACTGGAGTGAAACTATGGCGACAGAGAGGATATAACATAGAACTGCAGCTATCGCAGTTATGCAGCATGCTCTGCTATGCATAATCAAATCACTTTCTCCACATCATAACATAATCAATGACCTCGCTTCTGGTTTCTAAAACAATAAGATTAATGAGAGATGTTATACTGCTGGGTTGTAACAGCCCGCTCAGCAGTTCACAAAACAAATTGTATCAGCACAAAGTTACACAAAAGATCCGGAAACAGAGGTCAAGACTTTCTGTAGCTAGCTACTATATTTACAGCACACCACCGAACACATGACATATATCAGCCTGCAGTGAGTCAGCCAACAGGTGCACATAATACAAGTATTATTACTCATCTATGGGCAGGAATACATGTCACTAGAAACATAATTTTTTTTTTAATTTCAATTGCTAAAAATATACCTAAACTGCATTAAATGTTGTTTGATATAAATAATTAAATGATTTATAAAGTAGTTTTTAATGCAATATTTTATCCAAAGCTGTTTTTAGCCTTTCAAATATTTATTTTAAGATAATAAAGTCAAAGATATGTGGGGTTTTAAAGACATCCCCTTGGACTATGAGAGACTGGAAAGGACATTTTTCACTATTTTTCGACATTTTATTTGACAATTCATCGCGAAAATTATCCGCAGATTAATTGTTAATGAAAATAATCATTGATTTGTTTTGAAGTAAAGCTGATATTTGATACGGAAAAAAATCGTTCATTAAGTCCGTAATGTAGAACTGAAGAAAGTTTTATTTCCAGTATCATAAAAGGATCAGAAACACTACTGAAACTTAATTTCAAAATATTGCATTCAGTTTCAAGTTTGGTGATGCGTTTAATTTCAAAATAAGCAATTCACGTTTAGCGTTTTTAAGTTATGACTCTAATTATGTGATTCAAATTCAGTTGTTTTATTGCAAATTGTTCGAGTTGAGTTAATATACCAGCAACAGGAGCAGAGCAACCTGCAGAGAGAAGATTCAAAAGCCTTATTTTACAAAACCTCCTTCAAGGCTCCTCCAGCTGTTCCAAAGCCAAGGTCTCCAAGGCCTTGATGATAAAGCTGGTTAAGTTTAGACATCAATATCCAAGTCCCAATCAATGCAAACCAGGACAAGTGGTGAATAAAATCACAAATGTAATTCATTAAGATGGCCCAGGCTGCTACCACCTCACACAGCAGATGGTACGTGATGGCAGGAATATATTTAACTATTCTAATCTCATCCACCTCTAGTTGTGTGAAACTAATTTAAACTCATCTTTGAAAAAAAAAAAACTTTCCCCGACCAGAAGTGAAGATCTCAAACTGTGCCTTGACGTGAATGTGGACAAGCTTTGACACATCAAACTGACCCGCAGCATTGTGAAAAGCAGATGAAATAAGTTAACACAACAAGAGATGGGATGAATGAGACAGAAGGGAGTGTAGAGAGCTGTATGGGTGCTGAGGAGAGCTGCTCTGTCACCGCGGATCCTTTCAGCTCGCCTGTCAGCCTTGTCTTTGTCGTGTCTGACGTCTCTACTAAAGCCTGTCCCGCCGTCAGAAACAACAAACCCCCCCCCCCTCCCGACAACCGGACTGCGACCCCCGTGCTCCACCGGGATCAGCGCCACCTTTCACCCGTGACCCTGCTCCAGACTCCCTCTGTCTTTCTTTCTTTCTTTCTCCCTCTGACACACACACACACACACACACACACACACACACACACACACACACACACACACACACACACACACACACACACACACACACACACACACACACACACACACACACACACACACACACACACACACACACACACACACACACACACACACACACACACACACACACACACACACACACACACACACACACACACACACACACACACACACACACACACACACACACACACACACACACACACACACACACACACACACACACACACACACACACACACACACCACACACACACACACACACACACACACACACACACACACACACACACACACACACACACACACACACACACACACACACACACACACACACACACACACACACACACACACACACACACACACACACACACACACACACACACACACACACACACACACACACACACACACACACACACACACACACACACACACACACACACACACACACACACACACACACACACACACACACACACACACACACACACCAGAGGGCCCTATTGTCCCGGGGTCACACTCCTGACATATGAGTGGGGAAAAAAGAGCAGTGAGGGACAGGAGGAGAAATAATGGCCAGTTCAAAAGCTGTAATTTTACCACCATGCTGAGTTTTCATATTCATATCATTTATGGTTGGAAATAATGGATGCAAAGCTTAAACAACTAAATAATAAGTTGAAGGACAAACAAATATTCTTAAATTATTTTGATAATCAGTTTAGTTCAAACTAATTATCTGTATTTTCTGCTTTTCTTTGTTAAATGTTATGATAAATAGAATATTTCAGAGTTTTGGACTGATAAAACAAGTAATATAAAAAACATTTTTGCACTATTTTCAGACATTACATTGACAAAGCGATGAATCAATGTAACTATATATTTGTCATATACCTCTTGGTTGCACCCATAGCTTGATTTCAAACTGATTCTTTGTACATCTCACATGTCTACCTACAAACTGCTGGAGCCTTTCTCTGTTTTTCAGTATGTGAAGCATTTTGATGCAAATTAAACAAGATGAAACAGAATAAGTCATTCTCAGAAGAATAATCTAGTGTCTGCATTCACCCTCTAAGAGGTTTATTGATTACAACACTTCGGAAGCCATCATTAGAATTTATTTAAGTGTCTAAGCCGTGGGTTTCTGCAGCACTTAACTTTGCAGAACAGCACGGCCTCCGCTCGTACGGCAGACAGGAAGAAAAGCAACTTCCCCTGTTTCATTTAGAGCAAGTGGTCTGCGTGGACGACAGCTAGCAGCATCTGTCTCAGTCTTTCTGCAGCACGCTACACTGACTGAACCCGAAAGAGAAAGGGCCGAATGTGCACTCTCCCACGCAAACACACACACACACACACACACAAGCAAGCACTCACACACACACACACAACTGAGCTGTAAACTACAACCTCTTAACAATTCCTGAATCATATTCTCATCAACACTTTGCAAGCATTTCTAAACACAAAATACATAGCCACACAACTTCTGCAGGAAATAAATCCAAATCAAATGTTCAATAAAATAAAATGAACAATCTCCCCAAACACTATTTAATGGCATCTGCTGGTGACCAGAATGACATTACATTATAGGCTGTAATGAAGCAGAAAATGAGTAAGTGCTCATGCTGGTGTCTGAACTCAAGCGCGTTAACAAAACATTGCATTGGTTTTATACCATGGTGTGAATTAAAAACGTAAAAGTTTGTTTTAACCAAAGCACAAAAATATATGTTACTACCTAGTATCTGTTTATTCAAGAATAACCCTGTGTACTTACAGTACATTTAGTGCTATTGACTTATCTTTAGCAGTTGCTTCTGGTTTCATGGTTTTATTTATGGTGGTTGGTGTTGACTGTTAAACCAAGACCTCTCAGTAACCATTGTTCCATTAGAGCAGTTCCACAGAATAAATAGTTCCTATGAAAAACTATTCACAGTGTTTTGTTTATTTAGGGTTTGTTGGAGTTTCTGGAAAGTGTTACATTTTTCAATGCTTTGAGCTTCACAAACAAAACTCCAATCCTTCTGTGTATTCAGGTAAACACTGCTAATACAAAACCTGCAACCTTGAAAAGTTAAGTGAACATAAAGTCAAAGTGTCGGCTTAAGATGACTAACACTTACAATTATTTCATTTGTAGCGTTGATCAACATATCTGCTAAAGCAAAAGCACCACTTATTGTTGTGTTTACCAGAGACCTGCTAATAGGTTTTTTGCCTTTAAGCCATTTTTTTTAATGGACAAAGCATAACAATGAATTATCGACTTAAGACATATTAATTAAATAAAACCAAAACCACCAATTAGTTGACTAATCGACTTAGAGTGTGCAGACAAATGAGGAAATACGGGGCTCTAATGTGTTATTTGAGGTAAAAATGACCCTTAAAAACGGATGTTATAGGTTTATACTCAATTGAACTCCTGATCAAATTGAAGAGCTAAATATTGTGCAGCCAAGTTGAGGTTTCGATCAGGTTTCTATGATGACTTGTCATGCCTTTATTTATATATAACTTTAATTTATATAGACGTTGTTAACAAAGGGTTGCCATATTGACCAAGCAATAGGATGGTAACCCATAAGCTTTCTCAAACTGACCTCTATTAATATAACTTCACTAGAAATCGGTAGCTTAAATAAAAAAATCCACATTTCCTGCACACAGCAAACAAGTCGGTTTCTTTCAGTTGCCATTGCATAGCGGCACGTCAGCCAGCAGCACTGTTGCACAATAGGGAAGTTAAGCGCCACAAGAAAAATAGGTTGCATTAACAAAACGTGAAATAAGACATATAACTGAAAACCTCCCAAGCGTCCTCCTCCCGTCCATCAGCTGTTAAAAGCTCGAGTAGCAGTGATGAACACATGAGTTTATGTGCGAGCTCCACACAAAAAAAATCGGCTAAGGTCGTGCAAGCCTTCATTATGCAAGGCTTCGACATTATTCTGAGTTATTATTCTGAGTTATCCAAGGGCAAATTAGTAAGAAAAATACCCACACAATCTTTAAACTAGCTTGAGATTGCACTGCTTGTGCTGCATTGACAAACAGAGATGGGCCATTAACGCGAAGGCTTTGCAGATACACTACAGCGCTGAGGGTCTAACTTTCACACACTGAGCAGAACAAGGCACATACCGATTTTTTGAATGAATAAAATGCAGTGTAATGAATAAACTCACGTGTTACATGTATTACCACCGTGTGGGACTCACTGCACACATGGTAGAACCGCCTGTGTGTCCGAGTCAAGTTACTGAACGTCACGGCTTGAGCAATAAGAGCTGCCGAGCAATAAGGGCGCTTACACTCGACTCATCTTTTTGAGAGACGGGAAAAAAGACGAATGCGCCTCCACAGTGCAAAACACCTCAAGCAACGTGTAACTAACAACACAGAGTACGTGAATATTTAGTCTCAAAATTCCCCTCTTACCGCTAAGTAGTTTTTCCAAGTCGGTTTTTTAGATGCCGTTCCTCTCCGCCTGCTCTCTCGTAGCAACGTTAAGATAAAGTGAGTAAAAACCGACAGCCCCGGTTAGACCTTTCAAAATAATATGTTCTAAAATCTTCTGTAAATCATAATACTTTTTATTTTCTATATTATGCGTTTGTGTTTTATATAATATTGTTCTATTTAGTTCGTCTCTATCTATACTTTGCTGTAACAATGTACATTTCCCCGAATAAGGGAATTTAGATTCTGGTTAGAAGGGCGGAAGTTGCCACCGTCGTCAGAGCAACAGAAGCTCTCTTCGTGTGAAGGGTTTATTCTCGCGATACTTCCGGTGTCACTCCGGCTGCGTGTCGCCAGCTTTACGCAGTTCTCGTTCACGACCTCATTCCAATATGGCACAAATGGCCACTGCGCATGTTCTGCCGCCTATATGCCTCTGAGCCCACATCACACTGACTTCCATCTTCACACACACATACACACACAATACAATATCACACAACCAGAAGCAATACCAACAATATGTAAAAACCTCACACAAAAAGAAAAGCTGAATGATTTCTGTTTCCTTTAATTCGCACACAGACACGAGGGTCAACCCGAACAGTCGTTATGGGTTTTTTTTTGTAATCCCCAGCGGAATCAACACTTAGTTAATGGTTGAGCTGGAATTAATTGCACATATAATCGACCCACTTTCGATAAGTAGACTGTTATTTGCCACTACAAAGCTATTCGTTCTGTAACGAAGTAGTAAACAGATTTTGTTACTGAAGGTGACCTCGAATTGCCTTAATTTCCCTCAACATAATATTTGTTAAGTAAATAAAACAGCAGCACAATGCACAATAAAAGGCAGAATTGGAAAGTACTTTTTAAAATAAATCACAAAAACGCCCAGACCATAATGACATGATTCTATATGGCATTGCTGTTACGGTACTTCTGCTGCACAACGATATCAAGTCGGGGTTTTTGGAGGAGAGGGCGGGAGAAACTGCTGGAAATATGCCTAGACACTGTGAATGCAATGCTCAAAGTCCATCTATTTTGTACTGGAAATGTGATTTCTTTATTAAATAAGCATATGTATTCTTTTGAAAAGCGTCTCCAGGAGCCAGAAACATGTTTTTGACGCTGACTTGGACCATATATAAATATATTTTTGGGCTGCTGCCTCAGATAATCCTCCACAGCAGACCAACCCTTCGGATGCCTGTTATAACAAAAGAAAAAAATGTGCACGCGTTGAGCTGGAAACAGTACGATACATGTGAGCTACAGAAAAGCGATCTGATCCTGAGCAGTCGAAACAATCGGAGAGCCATGAATAAATCAATAGGGGGCAGGCATTTAGTCCACATTTATTCAGTCATTTGATTAAAGTGTAGAACTGCTCTCACTATAAGCTTGAACAGAAGACGACTGATATTGGGAAATTATTTTTAGCTCCAAACCACCGAAGACAAATCATGTTTCTTAAATGATATATTACTTGAATAAATGCTTTTAAAACCTGCTGTTTGTGTTGATAATTTTTTAAAGGGTCTACAACTTTAATGCAGCACAAGGTGTTTGCATAAAGGCAAATGTCTGAACCACTTGGACAGGTTTTGTCGCACAGTGCAGGTGGCTGTGATGGATAGTTTTTTGCTCACTGTCCACATCCTGCAGCAGGCAGGGGATTACAGCTGGGGACAGAGGACGAGGACAGGTCATGAGCCGTGCGCACTGCAGGAATGTCTCCACGCCTGCTGGTGCAGTTAGAGCACCTGAACGCTAGATGGTAGTAAAGCCTGACAGGTCTATCTCTTATGTTGACAAATTCCCTGTTTAAAATGTTTTGGTGCTCTTACAAAAGGACTTCACATTATCCTAAGGTGAAGTTCTGTGGATGCTTGTGGACTTCAGGCATTATGAAATAAAGGAAGCCAGCTGAGCGCCACAACACACCAGCAGGAATGCAGTGATTAGTCCTGGAATCTGTGGTATGCAGATCTTTACAATAACATTTTTGTTTTTCTAAGAGCCTCTACAGTGATATACATAAGTCTGTTACTTGTGTGAATGAAATACCATTTAATTAAGCGACACAGGCTGACATTTAAGAGTTTACAATGTATTTATTTATAATTAGATGTAAAAGATAAGGAGAGTAAAAAAAAGTAACCCTTAACTTACAGGCAGCTCATTGGAATGTACATATTCATTTTCCATATACAGCATTATTATTTTCCATGTTAAAATTCCTACATTCAAGTAATGTTACACATGTTCAAACACCCAATGCTTACACAGAAATGCCCATTCCCCCCAATGTAAAATAACACATCCTTCAACACAAACACATGTACAGTACCATACCATAGCTGTCCAATAAGAGATGGAATATACATTATGTATGGAATGATTTTTTGTTCTATGCTTTAGATTGATGTACAGCAAGAGGCTTTTCTCCCCGATGGCACACACAAGACTTGAAGACATCCTTGGCTAAATTAAAAAACAAATTAAAGCTTTTCAGGTTATGTGAGACTGGGATTTGCCTCGAGCATCTCCAATCTCTCAAGACAGTTCAGTGGAACTATTCAGCTCTGCAATTACATTACCTCACGTCAGATGGATATAAATCCTCCCAACTTTATATTACAGCCTTTCACACGATGCCTTTAAGTCTGGCAGAGGGATACAGACTACGTTCCTGACTACAGTAGCACCATTTGTATCCAAAAGATACGTGCAAATGTTTTGTATGCATGTGGTAACACACACACAGGTGTGTGTAATAGGAGGCATGCAGTAGGGAAAGCACACAGGGCGACAGTAAATACCGTATGCACCTCCAAACTCTCTGGAATTGCACGTGCAATGTGAAACGATATGAGGATGTCATGCTTGTGCATTTTAATTAAAAATGTTAACATACAGTACATTAGATGATTGGTTTAGATTTAAAGTGTCAACAAAAGGTAAAATTAGAAAAGTAAGAAAAGACAGATTTAATTATTGACTAACAATCATCGTTACCCTCGTTTAATAACAATCTCCCTTAATATCCTGGAGCTTTATACTATTTTATACAACTATACAGTTTTGACAGCTGAGACATGATTATTGCTTTAGATGCCAGCAAACATCTCAGCTCCGTTTTATCCTCTCTTCTGATAGAGGAACTGAGGAAGTCATAGTCCAGCTCAAATCTTTTTTATGCTCTTGTTTTCCATCCAGTTGAACTTTTTTTCGAAGTGCTGGTCTAAGACTCAAGGCAGCTTCTTCATTTGCTCATCATGTCTTCCAGTTGGGGGTTGATGAAGGAGAATCCGGCGAACGCTGCCTGGTCCATGGAGTCGATGAGGTTCTTGTCAGCGTGGGAGAGACGCGGCTTCTCGCTCAGGAACTCTCGATCAAAGTTGCTGCAGTCACTGGGGGATTTCTGTGGGGGGGGGGAAGTCAGGGATTTCAGTTAATGTAACAAAGCACACTCAAGTCATCTGTTTCCTGGATGCAATCTTTATCATACCAATGGATGTCAGGTAACTCATATTTCAGGATAATTGAAAAAGGCTCATACCACTTTGGGCTTAAACGGAGGCACCATCTCTCTCTTCTCCAGTGCTGGCCAGTTGATGGTTTTAAAGAACGGATGTGCACGGATGTCTCCCACCACGCCCAACCTGCGAGTGGAATCTCGCTCAAACAACTGGAAAAAGGAAGAAAGAAGATTTTGATTAGAGAAACAACATAAATCAGCTCCCATTAATACTGTATGCCACGTAGGTCTGCACTGAATAGGTTTTTTCACAAAGTTGAATTCTATAAAAATAATTAAACCAAGTGTTTTATTTGCAGATAAAGGTTACGCTACACTAATATGATATTTGTAGAAGAAGATGTCAGAGGTGGCTGCATAGAATTGTTTCCAACCTGTCTGATTCAAACATTTCCAATAACCCCAGAGCCATGTAACATTGAATACTTTCCAAAATTCACAATATGTCACTAAACATTTAATATGATTGCACCAAACGCTTTTAATTTGAACCGAAATAAAACAAAAAATGTATTCCCTACTGTTTTTCTTTTAAGTATTATGAACGTTATAAAATATGATGGCATTTAAAATCTTATTTGGAAAACCTCAATCAAATCTTTAAAAAATGTGCACCGCCCTGGGTGAAATCTCTGCACTGAAATCTATTCTTGTGTGTGAATTAAACACAATCTGTGAATATGTGGAACAAAGCGTGCTTCATAACAGATGTAGTTACCAGTTCAATGAGGCTCTTGGTCTCCTTGGTGATCCAGCGAGGGTAGTGAGGCGTGTCCGACCGGATGGAGTCAAACAGCTCGTCCTCGTCGTCGCCTTGGAAAGGGGACTGACCAATCAGCATCTCGTACACCAGCACGCCGAAAGACCACCAGTCGACTGAGAAGGTGTACTTCTGTCCCAGCAGGATCTGAGAGGAGAGAATATATCAGAATAAGGACGCACAGGGTGTAGATGCAAGCTCTTTGACGACTAACGGTGGCTTTAAACTGAATGATTGAAGGGATGCATGTCGAGATAAGAAAGGGGCTCTTTAAAACAAAAACAAATAGAGATATTTTATCTAGACAAATTGGCTAAATAAATTGGTTTTAAAGAGGTCCTGTTATGCTTTTGGGGGATTTCACCTTCCTGTACAGTGCTGTATACTGTAGGTTTGTGTGCATGTAAAAGGTCTGCAAAGGCTAAAATCCCAAAGCTCCCTCCAGTGGGAGAGACACTCAATCTTTAAGGACTTAAAGCTAACCTCTGGTGCGATATAGTCTGGTGTCCCGCAGAATGTGGTGGCTCTGACGTCTCCGAACACTTTCTCTTTGCACATGCCAAAGTCCGCTATCTTTATGTGTCCGTCCTTGTCCAGCATCACATTGTCCAGCTTCAGATCTCTGATGAAGGACACGGGAGGAGATTTATACAATGTACAATTCTGTTTGAAGTACTGTAGTGGAAATTGGCTGTGGGATCTAACCTGTAGATGATTCCTTTTGAGTGGAGGAACTGCAGTCCCACGATTATCTCAGCACCATAGAATCTGAAGGGTGAAATGTGCAAAAGCAACGATTAAAACAAGCTGCTGATAGTCCATGGTGGAAAATGACAGTCGAGGTATTACTCATAGTTCTCTAAGTGCGTACTCACGTGGCTCTGTTGAGATCGAAGCGGCCTTTGTCTTGGATGTGGAACATCAAGTCGCCTCCATTCAGGTACTCCATTACAAAGAAGAGGTGCTCCTGTGCAAACAACACATTATTGTCAGCTCACTGTCAGACAAATGAGACATGAAGAGTGTGTGTGAGCCTGAGAGGGAATGGATACAGATAAGAGGGCATTGGAGTGTGTGTTTTATCAACAACTGGGAATTGTCACTGTTGCTGGGGTATTTGCCTTACCAGAGAATATGCTTTTTTTTAAACTTTTCTATGGGTACTGTTAGAGATATTTTATTTTAAAGCATCTAATAATTATATTGCATATTTAATTGACATAATGTATGTATGAAGCAATTTGTTCATATCATTAGAATCATTATTTTAAATATATATTTTTTTAAAGCAGCTTCAGCCACCAGGTATATAAACATGTATATTAGTAGACAGGGAAATTATTCTTTGTTTTTTTGCCTGCTATAAAATATATTTTTTTAACTGCACAAACATAATGGCCAGGACAATGGACTTTTTCCCTGTGTGAGATTTTTTCTTTTTTCGAGGACAAATTGCTGCTACTCTTACTTTGGACTGGAAGGTGGAGTAGAGGTGTGTGAGGAAGGGGTTCTCCCAGGCGAGGGCCAGGACCCTCTTCTCCACCATGGTGCACTCCACGTCGTCATCCATGAGAACCACGTCCTTCTTCAGAGCCTTCACAGCGAAGAACTGGTCCTGCCCCTTCAGCTCGGCCAGCAGCACCTGGGGAGTCAGAGTGACTCAGAGTGAGCACTTCATCAGGGTGATCACAGCGGTTTCAGGGAGTAGCGAAGATACATGTAAATAAAGAGGTTATTTATATCTCCTGCTCTTTGAGTGTTTCTTAATATTTCATTTTAAAGTACAGTAGGAAACTGTGTGTTTAAAAATGATCTGCCATCAGACCACAGTGGATATAGATGAACTCTCCATCATGTGCTTCATAAATGGGTCAACCTTCGTGCAGGGTGTATGTCTTTATCAAATGTAGCATGGAATATATAGTGATGGATGAATGGCTTGGCTCATTACTCATCTCTCACTAACCTCAATGTGAGGGAAGTCATTTACCAAGCAGTAGATGCATTGATCTAAGAAAACGAGTTATTCAAAGCTAAAGGTTTTAAAGTTCACTAAGCCACGATTACATGATAAGAGTCTGCCTCTTAAAGATGTGTGCCCTCCAGAGCTTGCTGGTGTTGATTTTTTTTTTTTTTTTACAGACGTCCTCACATATTTATCTTTCGTGGCAATGTCACCTCTAATGGATTCCACACTGCAGATATTCCTACTTCTTCTTAAGCATGAAATTCAAGGACCAAACATGGCATAGTTTGAGACACGGATCACGGGTAATCACTGTTACTACCCTGAGAACAGAACACGAACAGGCTTTGCAGACGATCACACACCACGATTAAGAAGAAAGGGAGTCTTGAATGTGTGAACGCTCGGCAATTGTGCTGCCGAGTGTTACACTGATGGTGTCTCTCTTACTCTCTTTAACACAGAAACACAATATATTGTGCAAGTTAAGTGAAAGAGCTGTACAAATTCAATTAAATGTATTTTTCTTGCACATATTTATACATTAAGACACTTTTAATGACCAACTGTATGACTCATTTCTTTTTTCAATGATCCCAAGAAACTATACTAAAACGTGGAGATATGCAGTATTTCTGCTCATAAATGCTATGGTTGAATTCACATTAACAACATTTACATGGGGATAATTTAGGGATTAATGTGTTTTTTTAACCATATATGTATTGTATAACATCATTGGCATAACAAGTGTTTCCGTATTTGTATTATTTCGTGTTGAATCCAGGGAAAGGACTAAACGTTGGGACCAGGGGGCCTACCTTGCCAAAGCTGCCTTTGCCCAGCACCTTGTGGAACACCAGGTGGTTCATGGTGATGCGAACCCTGGAAACAGTCGGTGTGACTGGGGCGGGGGTCGGGCCCACCACGCACCCACCATTATCATTATCATCTGCTATAAATACACATTTGCACACACACAGAGTAAATACATAATGCAAATCTGAATGCAAATCTGAATGCAAACACAAAGGATAACGATTTGAGGAGGTGAACAAAGGTAAACAGACTATCAGCGACATTTGGTTTCAACCTTTAAATGGTCAAACTTGATTAGATCACACAATGTTTGATTAAGGTGCGCGCTGCAATGAACAAATCTTACCACCAGGGTCTACTGTTGCACCTCTGATTTCTTGATAGATGCCAATATCTTCTGCATTGGGATCAGGCTTCTTCATAGATTTCTAGGGTTGAAGAACAGACATGTACATCTACAATAAATCATTTTATAATAATCTTACTTTTTTTAAAAACACAAAATGGCGTAAAATGTACAAATAGTCCACACTATGTCACGGTACACACCTGGCTGATTTGAAGCAGAGCCTCTGCCAGTAGTTTCTGGTTGATTCCACACAGATTGGCCACTTTCTTCTGACAGTTACTATGAACGTTCATGCTGCAGTCTGGTGAGAGGGGGGGGGGAATTGATTGAAGTGGCGAAAGGAAATACAAAGAGAAGATTGTCAGAGGCATGGCAGGAGAAAGGCAGATATGATGAAGTAAAATAAACGCATTTCACCCACCATCACATTTTAGGCCCTGCTTGTAGAGACCCCAGAGCAGACTGCCACAGTGGTCACAGAAAGTGGGGCTCTTGTAGTTATATTGCTTGAAGCGATGCGGCATGTCGATCTTGAAGCGCTCTTTCTGGAACTACACACACACACACACACACACACACAGGGATCCATTAAACCCACAGAAAGCTGTTGAGTAAATTAGACACATGTGGGACTATACATTTAAGCTCAGAACAAAATCTAAATTTCACAGCTAATACTTTATTATTGATTCTAATGTGTGTTATCTTAAATTGAATGTGATTTAAGTTGTACTGAAGAATTGAATTGCCAAAATAACTTTGCATTGCTTCGAGTAAGAAGTAAACATACTGTGCAATATAATGATTAATGGACTAATTATTATGCCATAAAAGAAACAAGGAAAGAATACAAAGTTATTATTGAACCGCAGCGGGAAAAAGTAATAAATGGTCTGATCTGAGCTGTGCATCGACGTTGGAGAACATTAACTTTGCTCACCACGGTGTCGCGGCTGTTGGTTGCCGTCCCAGTGCACCTGCCGATGATTTTGTCGATGCATTTCTTGTGGATTGCCGCATTGCATTCTGGGTGAAAAAATAAATAGTGTGTTAACTTTGAACATTTTTTAAAAAGTGTACATTTTGATGAAAATGCGGTTGATGAAACACTCACGTCTGCACTTGTAGCCTTGCTTGTTGAAACCCCTGTATGGTAGAACAAGGAATATAATTAATACATTAAAAAAAAGTAATTGATATATATAAAAACACCAAGAGTTAGGTTTATGTTTATTCTATTTTCCTTTTTATCTCACATTGGTTTTTTTAATGTTTTTATTCTTAAAAAAAAATATTTTTTTAATTTAATCTATTCCAAATTGAAGCAACTGTAATGAATCCCAATTTCTCCCTGGATAAATAAAGTATTGTAATTCAGATTGGTGTGAGTAAAAAATATCCGTATATACATATACATATATGGCTGCTAAAATGTAAGCAATGTATGCAGGATGTATGGCAGGATGGTTTTCAATAGTATGATTGTGTTTATGACAGTGCTGTACTGTAGCTACACAGGAGATCATTAGCAATTCCTTCATGCAACAGCTACCAAATGACATCTGTACTGTCCACTAAGTATTATGTTAGTACAAAAACAAGCATGGGATGAATCACGATAAACCTGTTACTGCAGTTGGCACAGCACTGACTCGTCGTTTTTATTTGTTATCAGCATAGCTGGAATCTTACACATAGATCACAAGACTGAAACTTGACAAGTGGCCACAGAGCCAAAAACAAATATTTAGACAATAAAAACAACAACTGACTTTCCCTCCCTGTCTCTGAAGGGGAGAGGAGATGGGAGGGGCTTGGCTCACAGGTTAGTGCTGCTGACACAGTTGGAAGACAACTTGACAGCTTTTGTGGGATTTCCCTAGACTCTATGACTCATTCTCACAAGACCCGTCCTGCTGTGGTTTCTACTATTACAAACCCCCCAGGACGGCTCCGTTTAGGAAACTAGAAGCGCTACTAATTCAACAGCATAGAGAGCAGGCTGGACTTTTCTTATTGCATAACTGATGTTTTTGTCTTGTTTGGTACCGGAGAACATGCAGTAGGGGATAATAACAATGCAGAGAACCAAGTCGACAGGCAAAGTGGCTGCTTCTGGATAAGTCTCGCCAAGATAGTATAATGTGCAAATCACTAACATTATCTCTCACTGCAGATACTCAAAACAAACTTAAAAGAGTAAAAAAAAAAAGCATTTGATGTGCTAACCTTTACTACTAACTAATGGTGACAAATAGAGCTGCAATTGTTGATCAACTAATCAATTAGTTCAAGAGGAAACACAATTGCAAGATATGTTGATAACGTTTTTTAAATTATGTTTTCAGACCCTCAAATATGGGGATTTCGCCTTTTTCTGTTTTTTATCAGGTTAAATTGAATACCTTTTGGTTTGGGGTGTAAAAACAAGACATTTAAAGACATCATCCGGGACTTTAAGACACTAAGATGGACTATTTTTCCTAGACCTAAGGATAACCGAGATAGCAAATGGCAGATTCATTGATATTGAACATAATCATTAGTTGCTCCCCTCGTGGCAGAACAGTGACAGCTGTAATGTAACCAAGGCTGGATTTGGCGTCTCACCAGACGAACTCTCTGCAGACGGAGCAGAAGGTGGGCTGGTTGAAGAAGGTGGCGCAGAACTCGTGGTTCTTGATGAAGTGAACCTTGGGCTGCTTGAAGGCTCCTCTCCTCCTGTTGAGGGTCATCACTCCCTCCTCGGAAGAAACCTTCAACGATGCCTGACCCGACGGCTGACCCGGCGCTGAGAGGGGAGATCAATTCACAAATCATGCTAATGTATTCCTAATCTGTTCAAAAGATGTTGGTTAAAACAGCTCAGTTTAAGACAAATACATATTTTTTTTGGGATGCCAATTCATCTCGACCAAGGAGGTTATGTTTTCAGAAGGAAGAAACCATCAAAATGAGAAAAAGGCATATGAAAAAAACAATTATTCCTTTGTGAGATAATGCATGATGAAGTTGCTTTTCTAGTCATTCTCTTCACAACCTTATTTGTTTACACTCTAGCCGATGAGCTTTGTTGATATTCCTTAAAGGACGTCACAGGGCACATTATCATGAATGACACATCAGTGCAAATAGCCAAGGGGTATACTATTTAGTGAAAAAGCACTAGTAGAAATAGAGGGAGGCCACCATTGCTGCTGCTTAAAGTGGACCTATCATGCTATATTTGAAACATATATTGTAGGGCCATACCTATATAAAACAAGTTTTTTTTTCAAAATACCAAACAGATCATGCATTTTAGCCATGCCTCATTTCGCTCTATTTGCTCTTTTCCAGCCCTGTTTTTGCAAGGGCTGATTCTGATTTTGTGGCAGACTACAGCGCCACTTACAGGCCTGGCATATGTACTACAGCGTCTCCAGCGCTTTCGAGCGGTCTCTCATTCCCCTGATAGGTGGAGAGCACCCCTTTTCTGACATCAGAAAAATTCAAATAATAATCAGCCCCGTTGCAGCCCCGTTTTTAGAGATTTGGGTATGGAGGAAAAGAAAGAGGGTTGTGTTTTCTGACACTTGGTGAGTTCCCTGACACACCGGGGACACATATTCATGTATAAAAGGCGGGTTCGACTGACGCAAATCAACAGGGTGGGGTCAAAAGTCATGCAAAGAAGACAGTAAAAGAGGCGTGGGAGAGGTAAACAAAGGAGGCGGAGGAGATAGTGGGTAGAAGAGGGGGAGATGGGGTGAGATAGAGGGACAGGAGTAGCCTTAAAGAGACTATTGATAGACAGCGGAAAGTGTGATGAGGTGAGCGAGATAAACGTATTTCCTCTCTGCCATTCTCCTGACAGATGTTTATGTTTGGAAAGCGCTTCAGTGATCTGAGCCAAGACAGTGGGAGTGAGTGAGAGAGAGGGGGGGGGGGGAGACTGAGGGGGGCAGACAGCGCTAAGGGCCGTTCACACATGCCTAAAAATACTTCAGGTTGCTTTTCAGGAAACCTGTGGAGTGTGTAGGAGGCTGATGCAGTGTGGGGCTCTTTCAAAACAACCCCTACCCCCCCCCCCCCCCCCCTTCCCTCCCCTCTCATGACCCCTCCAACCCTAAACAGTGAACCCTGTCTGTGCTGCTCCCATGCAGAAATCCCCCCTCAACTAAACTAGTTTGTAAATATAACCCGATCCCACTCCATGTTGGCAGACAGCTGTGACTACCATATACCGGGCTCCCTGTCTGATTCCCAACTTCTGCTTCTGACAGCCAAAGAGAAACTAAAACAGGCTTTCAAAAGCAGATAGTGATAGGAATAGGATTTTGAACTCCAATGGAAGACCATCTTATCAAGTGGCCTTATCTTACCAAATTAATGAATTTATGTTTCCCCCTCTTCCCTGCACGGAGATCTAAAACTCTCAAAGTACAGCCAGCCCTGAGGCTCGATTCCTTCCCGACCTTGAAGGACTGTTACAGAGCTTTGGTTGTGAGGGCCACACCTGCAGTCAGTTGACAGGCCCAGTGAGATATGTCACCAGGTTGCAGATTAACCCTTCGCCGTTTATTGCAGAGCAGTAGGCATTTAGTCTCCTCACTCATAAAAAGGTTGAAGATAACTCATGATGAACTTATTAATGAACTCAAGATAAGGATTCCTTTCCAACAGCAAACATAGCGTTACATATAAACTGAAGGAATATTTATGTGGGTGTACTTGAGAGAAGAAGGAGAGGGTGGAAGAGAGAAAGAGAGAGGGGGGGCAGGGGATTTTCCCCAACAGCTGACAGTACGACACTGCTTTCTTCAGATGACATCACTCCCTGGTGGTCTAGTGGTTAGGATTCGGCGCTCTCACCGCCGCGGCCCGGGTTCGATTCCCGGTCAGGGAACACTTGTTTTGAATGCCGGGTGAATGCTTTTTAAAACCAGGGTTTCTAAAACTTTTCATGGAAATCCTTTGAATGATTTACTTCCCCATGTCTATCTATTTTTTTACCCCTGACTAGGGCCAAACGGTGTAAATGTGATGACGGTTGCAGGGTTGCCGTGTTTTGCCACGTCAACATAAACTAACCACACCCACACAATCCTGATGGAGAAGTTATATTTTTGAGGAATAAACTGATGACAGGTATAATTGGAGAAATACCTTTAACTGACTTATTAAGTCACAAATATTGTTGGAACAGTACAAAATATTTAAAAGCGTTACCTGCATCCACGTCCTCCAGGAAGAACTGCACAGCCATCTGGACCCTCCCTGAGGGAAGCAGGTCCAACCAGAACTCGGTGCGGCCGGCCGTCTTGGACTTCCTGCAGCGCTCTGCCAGCACAGACACGCCCACCGTGGCGTTGGCCAATGGCTCCTCGGCGCTCTGCATGAGGACCACCTCTAGGACACGCCCCTCGTAGATGTGAGCATCAAAAGTGGACTTCCAGGAGGGATACATGGTGGGCTTCCTCTGCACCAAGGCCTTTCCTCGCTCTGTGAAAAAAAGATTCATCATTAGGAGAAAAAAACGTTATCTTTTACTTTTTCTTTCTCAGGAAATTCACAGGAAAGGAGTTACTATCCCTCAGAGTTTGTTTATATACATGTTTGAGCCAAGCAGATGGAGGCTGTCAAGGCTCTTACACTTGGGACATATGTTCCCCCTACTCCCCTTTCTAGATAAAATGATGACTGCATGTGTGTGTTTGCATCTGTACATACCCGTGTTGACAGACTCCTTCATCTTGATGGCACAGATGGGAGTTTCGGTTAGAGCGGGCAGGGCGCCCACGTCATAAGCATTGAAGGCGATACGCAGGAAGGGTGCCATGGTGACCGCTCACCGAAGCCTCCTGGAACAAAGACATAAACACAGTTAGAACATCACACACACATAAGGGTCACAGGACAGATGGTGTTGTATGCTGTCTATAAGTATGATTGTAAAGCCCCTAGAGGAACATCAGTGATTTACACTTCTTCAGCATGTACTTAGATTGCTTCAGTGCTGAACGTAAAAACAAGAAGGAAGACAGTCTGAGGCAAACAGTGTCCTCAGACGGGAACTACAGAGGAAGTAGAAGTTTAACTCAAGACATCACTTTGGAAACTACCTTCCAGTAATGAGGGAAGATAAAGCTCAATGTTCCTGTTCTCATGTGTACAGGAATACCAAAAAGATTACATTTCCAAGAAAAGCCGAGAGTCCCAGTTTAGGGGAAAAGACAAACACATGGTAGAAGTTAAGCAGCCATGTCTCTCAGCTGCTTAACTGTTTTCACAATGATTTTTGTGGGACAAAGTTTGTTTTTTCATCCTGGTTGTTTGGTCCTCATTCCCAACAGTCTATACTCATCTGACTGTGGAGATTTGGGTGTCAAGCCATTCGTTTGGAGGACTTTTGTAGCACTAAATCATACCAAAGTGTTCATCCATGGCATAACTCTTGCAGATTACGTGTGGACAAATGTGGCGTACATTACACCTTTAATAAACCTATAAATCTAGCCTACTGTGAGTCTCCTATATTTCATTTTCTTTCTTTCTAGTTTGCTTCCCCTTTCTACTTTTCTTTTTTGTTGTACCACAGGAACAAGTATGGTATAATTTTTCAGTATTTCCCAGTAGTGTCTTGGCAAATAAAATCCATCCTTTCTACAACTTAAAAACGTTCTGTGTCAGCCTAGACTGTCACCCAAGGCTGTCTTAAGGCCAAATCAGTCAATTGCATTATTAGAACGTACTTTAATTCATTTGTTATTCACCTAAACCCAATGTATTTTGCCATATACAGTAAGTTGTGCATTCACCCTCCAAGCTAAACAGTCCAAGTGCAATTTCAGATCTGTACATTTCGAAAGTACAAAACCTAAAGCAACCACAGCTTGCATAAGTGTCCACTCGCTTGCTTCATTTCAGCCGAGTTGCTCCACCGACAGGTTTGTTCAAAAGTGTTTTCCATGTGTTTCGCACACTTCCTCTTAAAGTGCTTCTTGTGTGGGGTTTGAACAACAGTCTCATCAGAGTTAATATTAATCCACCAGGCTTAAAGACACTTTTTGGGCAACTATTTTTGGGAGGCAAGATGACAGCAGGCAAAAAGTTTAGTCCTTGTAAAGGGATTCAATTTGATATATGCGTGTACTTTCACCAGACCTTGTGACTGATTACAAAAGGGTGACATTTTCTGGGGGCATCCAGTTAAGCCTCATGTTAAACAAACACACAACAAACACAGAGCAAGAACCAGAGGTCACATCAGCCTACATCTTCATTCCCGGTGCAGCTATAAAATCCACGCAGCACTTTTTGTGGGTTTTTAATAATAGTTATTTCAGCGACGTAACACAGCTTTGATTCAGATGTTTGAAGTCAAACAGCATCGTGCTTTACTACACTTGATGTTTAGCTTCTCTATGCGACGACATGTCTGAGACATGCTGCTGAACAGGATTATTCTGTTGCCTCCATGTGTCTGCTTACATAATGAACCATTCCTAAGGGGATGACTTTAGTTTGTGTTCATGTTGCTTTTCACACTGCTGAATGTTGAGCTCAGGCTCTGGATGACTGAAGCGCTGCATGCTGTGATACATTTTCATGCATGTTGCTCAGCATGCAAAGGTGGAATAGATGCTATTTTGAGCTGAGTGACACTCTGAATGCAGAGCTTTAGAAAGATAAGTATTCTGTATCCCCAGCTGAAAGGTTTTGATGGTGGAAACCTCGTCTCTAAGTCAACAATCTGGAGCTGTTTAGTAGTACAAGCCGTAGTGCAGTAAACAAGTCTCAGGTGTAAACGTGTGCAGCTGAACATAACTCTTGACTCAGGATATTTAGTGTGTAGGAGGCAGGGGGGCCCAACAGAGGCAGACTGTTCTGTGAGCTGCTGGTTTGATATCCAAGACAAACAAGAGAAATGTAAATGTTGAAGTGAATGACTGACACTAATGTCTCAGGATCCATCAGTAAGATGCCCCTTGAGCAAACTCTTAACCTCCTTCTCCAAAAGTCAGAGGTTACTCAGTAGCCCACGGATACGTGAGAACGTGCCTAGTGTTCTTTAAAGTTAACTGGATAGAACAATTGCATATTAATGAAGTATTTTTTTGTATTTTAGTACTGCTGGTTACTTTATATCATAATAAACTGACAAAAAATACTATTTTTGTACATTTATTTTACACCAAATGATCAATCTAGAAAACAATGTATTTAATTGTTCCTAAATCACAAATGTCTGTAGTCAAAAAGAGGACCATCACGAAACAGGACCATGTTATAATTTAGCTTAAATAAGGAGGCTATACAAACAAAGCACAAGAGATAATCATTGTAGAAAAACACACACAAAAAATATTGAATCAAAATCTTGACAGAAAAGAAATACACACCAAGACCAACATTTCCAATTTCCCCTCCACTTTACACACAGTCTTGTGTACACATACACAGGCCTTGCTACAGAGAAAGGAGAGCCTTGTTTCCCCAGACAGAGTGGAAAAAGTGAGCACATGCAATTGGGGAAGGGGTGGGAAGAGGAGAATAGCAAAATGGGAGGGAAAGAAAAAAAAGATAGATAGGCAGGCCAGTGGACACGAGGAGGAATCAGACTCAATGACAGAACCAGATTTGCACTCAGACGCTGACGTCCAGTGATTTGGATATTGCTCTTATGCTTGTGCGAGGCCTCAACGAGCTCTTTAGCTACTCTAAGGCGCCGTTTACACGAGGACAAAACTGCTTGTATCTGCATAGTTTCGCGTGCGTATAGCCCTATTATTTACACGAGGCCGATAGAAACGGACCCCACAAACGATAACGGGTCCCAAGGTGGATAGATTTGCAAACGAAACGCTCTGGGGGGTCAACCGAGTCCGTGTAATCACCTCTATACGAATATTTCCTGAAAAAATAACGATAGCCCCACCTCTCCCCACCTCTCCTGCTCACTGCTGAAGCAACTATCAAAAATAGCTGTGTTAATTAAATGCACAAGGGGTTCTTGAATGAAATAATATTATAAAAGGCAAACCAGAATTGTTAACCCCCAATATACTCCTTAAACAAAATAAACAGAGTCAGATTTCATGCATTGATCCATTATATTGACAATTTTCCAGCCAAACAACACAAACAAAATTAAACAGTCCGCTCTGCGATACACCAAAATTGTCTTTACTGCCTAATCCAGGCCATTATTGTTCATTGCTCCTGCGCCCGTCGGCGGCAAAAAGAGAAATGTTTATAATCCACACAAAAAAAGGAAACACGAGGACCGGCGTGTCCCAGAGGAGCGATCTCACCCGGTGTTTGTAGAGAATATCTCTCTTTCTGAGCGCGTCCTCTCCACGGAGACGTGCTTCTTGGTCGGTCGATGCAATATCCACAGATTCGGTTTCTTTCAGTTAACTTCCCCGTTGCATTTATCCATATATTTACATGCTGAGGAAATTACTATATCCCGCTGAATACCAGCAATCGCCACACACACTTCCTCCTGTCAGTAGCTACTGCTAGTGCTACTGCTACTGACCATGCTACAGATATTAGTGCAAAATCTACAGCTCCTCTACCACAACCATCAGCAACAAGTGGACATGGAGAATTACATGAACTACATGTTGCTAAATACACCGCGGGGCATAAACAGAAGGGTAGCCATGGCAACATTGCTGCGGGGCTGCTCCGGAGTCTTCTTCGCTGCTTTTGGTGTATTTTGTGGCGGAAGTTACAGCGCCACTTACAGTCACGGCATATGTACTACAGCGTTTCCAGCGGTCTCGTTTGAACAGACACGTTAAATGAAACGAATGCATGTGAACGGAAGACTTTTTTGAATACGCATACTGTGCATAAACGCAAACGTTCCCGTGTGCACAACGCCTAAGTCTTTAGCCTTTGTCCTCGATTCAAATGACTGCCAAGCACCAGGTCCAGTAAATGGAAAGCTGGATCACTTGTCATTGGTGTTTGAGTTAAGTTATGCCCAGTATGCAGGAAACACAACAACAAGATAAGTACACCATGTCATTAAATGCCATGTGAATTAACAAGGCATATCAGCTATGAGGAAGTTACCTGAACCATTTCTATTTTTTTTTAAACAAAATGATGGCTTCTTTTTAATAGGATATATTTCAGAATCAGATTCCTTTAACATCTAATCCTGTTTTTAGCAGAATCACACACATAACAGCCAGTAGCTGAACAAGTAGATCATTACACAACAAGGGAAATGACCTTTAGTTGTAATGACGTGAGACCGATATTCCATTACATTCCAACACAATACTGGAGTCAGAGATGCATGATGTTAAACCATCATCAGTCACGCTCAGCGATGCACTTGAAATGATAGTCAAAGGTTTGGTATGCACTGAACTTGGAAGAGGTGATCGAGCAGGTCGAGCAGGTTGAGGAGCTTTGTGTAAACCTTTAAGAACTAAGAAAGGTAGGCTTCTTTCACGGAGGGACCACACAAACAGAATGACCTTGTTTCATCCAGCAGCTTTAGTTCTGCTACTGGTGAAGTTAAATTGGAAACATTGGAAAACCATCATTCAATCAAAGAGATTAATAGAGAGATGACTCACTGATTTCGACATAGTAATGCCTTGAGGGAAACTCTTTTACTTTTTGTCAGACGTCGCCTGCTGGAAAGCTAAAAGGGATCGAGAGCTCTGTTCAAATATACTTTAATAATATATCATTTTGCCACATAATTAACGAAGATTTGTAAGCCTTTTTTTATACCATAGAAACAGTCCCTAAATGTATTTTAATTCAGCAGGACAACAATGTTTACCATGAAGGCAAGGCATCGTTATAGTTTCTTTTCAGTCAGTGGAGT